AAGATTGCTCACAGGCTGATGACAAAAAAAAGGCTGCATGAGCAAGCCTAACGACGGGAGTAGCGGATTCGCGAAGCCGCAGATGTAGCTGCGGAATCTTGGCTAAGACCAATGAACGTCGCGCGGGCGCACCGTTCTAGCCTCACAGGTTGGGCAGCGTGCGATGGCTGTTGAATCTAGATTGAGTAAGCGAGTGGGTTGAAGATGGCCCGTTTGATTTGAAGGGGGGTCGCAAGGTAGTGAGGTTGATGGCGGTTGGAGAAGCGCAGGGTGCGGCAATCTGGGCGCCTTGGTTGGTGAGAGAGAGGGTTGAACGGCAGACCAGGGTTGGTAGATGAACGGATTCGAGGCGGCTAGAGATTGAGGTGGGAGAGAAATTAATGGAAATTCGATTGCATGCAGAAGAGCAGCAGACGGTGACAGAGAAAGATGATTTTGAAGAAGTAAGAAGCTAGAGAAGTAGAAGTACGGACGGAATACGGAGTAGAGGAGCGTTCAAGGTTGAAGGAACGAACCGATGGAAATTGCGGGCGGGCGACATGACGGTTGCCCAATTGGGAAGCCTCCGGAGCGGCGGGCGGGCTTCATCTCTCATCCTCACAATAATGAATGAGCCTTCGCAATCGCATTCCAAGTTTTGCTTTACTGCTTCGTTTACTACCAAGGGAGGACGACTCTGGCAAGATCCAGAGCTTCTGTCTCCTAACGAAGAAGAATCTTGCTGTTGTAAATCGTTGTGTCGTCCCAGAACTCTCTCTCCTCGTACTCCCCCAAGTCTGCTAACAAGCAGCTGTCCGTTCCTATACTCCTAGACGGTTATACCACCGGCGGCCGGATCGCATCCTGTTTTCAGCCTTGATCACACGGTCCTCTCCTGAAGAACGGAACCTGAATGAAGGCAAGGATAGCCACTCGATCGACCTTTTTGAAGCATCAAGCTTGGCCTTGTCTCCTTTCTTATACGCATTGATTGTAACAATTTGCGTGCACGTCGGTTGCTGCCATCCGTTCTGTCGCGCTCTCCCCTCCCCCTCCTTACTCTGCCTGGACGCCGGCGACCACCACGATCACCGACACTCTTCATCATCCTCTTCCCTTCTGTCGCCCTACACAAATTGGTCACTTGGGGCTAATTCCGTTCCCCTTCCTTTGAAGGAACTTGCGTTAGCCTTGACTTCGTGGAGATCAGACCCAGTTCGCCGTCGGTCTCCTCCCAGTGTAACCCCCCGACCGACTCACGAGGGCCGCTATTCTTCGTTCCTTTTTCTTTGCCGCCTACAAATTAATAGGCTGATCTCTTCCCCTACCCAGCTCCCTTCGGTGGCCTCCAATGACACCGTAGGACGCTCAAGGAGCAATTAGGCCGCCCTGGGGCAGAGGCATACTTCACCACCATTGACCTGCTCTCGGCCAAATTCACTCTACCCAGCAGGTGATTTTCCTCGCCGCGCCTACCCACTATCTCGTTTCGCAGCCGCACCGTCCTCTAAGCTTCAGCCACTACGCTCCTTCGTGGTCTTTTCCCTTACCTACTCCGGTTCTCATCATGAACTGCGGTCCGTTCTACATTCACACTACGAGATCAACTGGCGCTTCCTAAAACATTGTCGCGGTAGGAGCATGTCTCTGCCGGGACCAAATGTCCGTATCAGCATCGATTCCCGACACTTCGCTTGGCCTTACCTCCTCCGAGATCCAGATCCTAAGACAGCAACAACAAATTGCACTTCAAGGCAGTCATGGCGCCAATGGCATTTCCAGAGGCAGGGGGACCGGACGCACCAGCAATTCCAGTTCGCGCGCCGCCAGTGCCGCCAGCAGTCAGGGTCGTTTGCTTCTGGACCCTTTGAGTTTACGAGCGCTTTCGCAGCAGCTGGATGCCTTACAGCAACAAATTCGGAGTCGCATTGACTATGTATGTTTGACAACCCCTACACTGTGCAATCATACATGTTTGAGCATCTCTCCTTCCCCTCGGGTGACCAGTTTGCACTCGCTTTCCTGTCGCCTGAATACAATCTGCAGCTGGTGGAAGACGTTACGTACTATACATGCGCGCATATATCCTAATAGCTCTCAAACATCTCGGTTGCTAATTTGCAATAGCTCGAGGAACAAATGCAGCTATCAATTCAGAACAGCTACGATCGTGCTGGAAATGTTGTACGTAATGCCGATGCTGAAATCGCCCGCACACGTTCCATTCTAGCCTCCATAGATGAGCTGGAAACCGAGCTTGCCAAGATCGGTCACATAAGAGAAATTGTGAAAGCATACCGTGGCCGCATAGAAGGTCTTGACCAACGCCTGGACCAAGCTGCCCGTCGGAGGCATTGAGACACGCCAATCTACCCTATTCGCTTCAAATAGTACCATCTTCTTCTACATCCCGGTCTATGAAACGCCGCTTTTCGCCCATGGCACCTATTCGTCTTCATCCCCTTCATCTACTCTATTTCCTTTTCATACGGCCGAGGGACAGTCCTTTTCCCACCATGCTCACTCCTCTAATCCTTTGCGCTTCAGTATCCACGGGCTAAATCGTTCAATTCACTGCAAACCTCGTGGGCAATCTTGCCAAGAAGCCTCTCAAACCTGAGAAAACTCAAACGAAAGCCCGGAGACATCGACATTCAATCTTTTTAGCGCCCACCCTCGCGCATCGCCACAAAAAACTGCAAATCATAAACCGATATTGTCCTCACGGACTCAATGACATGACTTTACAACTCTGCACAACTAGCACAGCGTTCTATATGCTTACTTTGATTCCAATCATGGTTGAACCATGAGTCTATGGGAGGAATTAGTTTCTCTTTTGGTTATGTATTCGGAGAGGACTATTGACTAGAGATTTGGATGTTCGCCACGCGGCGATTTTGAATTCGAGATGATCGAGCTTGACAGGAACAAGCATGGCGTTATTGGCATTTGAACTCTACTTGTTACTTGGCTACCACTGGAGCTTGTCTCCTGATTTATGATTCACGCCTCCCAATCCACGAATCTGATGACCCGGCTGTCTGTTCCATCATGATGCGATTCCCCGGTATGCATTTATGTTTATTTGACATGACGTCTTTTGATTTTCATATTGTCTTCGCTTTTAGCTCTGGAACCCACCGTGCGGTGGCACACTACATCAATGGACCTTTTCCACTGGTGTCGGTGAAATATAGGCACATGTAATTTTGATGCCTCGGTCAGAATGAACCCGGCAGATAATTCGCACTGCGGCTTGCAAGACCCGAGAAAGCCGGTGCTGTGAGGGACGATTGCAGGTAATGGTGTTATTTGCAAATCCCTTCATGTCGTGTTGGCCGGAGCACTTCTGTTAGAGCCAAGCAAAGAAACTCAGCTCAATGTGTATGACTCAATGTATGCCAGTTGTACCGATACAGCAGGCATGACGGCTCACGGCGAAAGATTCGGCGAGATCCTGAGGATTGAGCCTGGCTAAAAACCGACGACGTCCTGCCATAGCTCTTAAGGGCTATCCTGCAAGATCTTTCAACGATCATATGCTGATTGGAGGCAATACGAGACAACGGCTTCGATGAACATCCTTGTAGCGTGGGTAGTATCTTCAAGAGCCTGCACTGTTCTGATCGTCTTGCTTCTCTTGCCCTTGTTCTTGCCGACGATCAGTCAGCTTCTTGCTGCGCTTCTCTGTTTGAGGGAAACGCTTCTCTGTCCCGCAAGTAGAGCAACGAATGACCAAGAGTTCAGCCCATGGCTTTCTGCGGCCGCGGCTGGGGTTCCTTATTTCGCGCGTACAAGTTACTCCAGGAAGTAGAAGCGTATCACATCGCTTGCAGAAAGATCTTTTCATGTCAACCGGTAGGCGAAGTTGCGTTTTGAGAGATACGCCGCGCATTTGCGACAGGTAGTTCCGAGAAAGCTGAGGTAGCTGGCCCGTCGCCACGTTCTGCCCATCCAGGGCCGTGGTCTCGCTCGCAGAATCTGCAGAGGGAGAAATGAGTGGCACTATACGTGTCGAGACACTTGGCTTCTGGTCTTCTGTCTCATCTGTGGAGTCACCGACATGACGAGCGCTGGACTGGGCTTGCAGGAAAGTAGCCGCTTTGTATAGATAGTCAATGCGCGCGCGTATATGGCTGTTGACACCTCCTGCAGAATCTTTCTTGCCTTTAGACTTTCCTTTGACCATTGCGATGATTGGCCGGGGACCAGACTTTTTCAATGATTGTGTTGCAACAGTCGTACTGGAGGATGTGGAGAGAATAATAATGGATGAGGAAGCTTTCCTTCACTATGGATCCATGATAAGCTAACCGAAAGCGGTCGCCGGGCCCCGGACCAACCATGACTAATTGACTTTGGCACGTGATCGAGGTGTCTAGGCTCAGCCGCTCCATCCCTTCGCGCGGCGAGTGTCCTTCCCTCCATCTCCATCGCCTTCCTTCGCGCCAACCAACCTGCCAACACCCTCAATCTATCTCACAGCATCAGCGAGGGCATCTCACGTACTACTCAGAACATAGATCTACCTATTTCCACCGGTTCAACCCCGCTTTTTCGACCACATCGGACCTAGGCTTCTCTGCCTTGGTAAAAGCAACGCGCTCCAACAGACAGAGTTTTCCCATCTAGACCACCTTTTATCTCACCACAAACCATCAACATGTCTCACGAGGAGGATCTCATCGACTACTCCGACGAGGAGCTTCCCACCACCGACGCGGCCGCGACCACCGCTGCTCCCGCCGCCAATGGAGAGGCCAAGAAGGGCGATCTGACTGTTTCTGGCGGCCGCTCCGACAAGAAGGGCAGCTATGTCGGTATCCACTCGACCGGTTTCCGTGACTTCCTGCTGAAGGAAGAGCTTCTGCGTGCCATCACCGACTGCGGTTTCGAACATCCATCGGAGGGTTAGTCCATCATACGTATTCTTTCCCAAAAAACCAAAACCTCCCTCCATTGCTCCAAGTTTCAACGTCCGTCCGTCCGTCCATCTCCGCGGGAAGGAAAAAGAGTTCCATAGTCGCTTCCGGGCATAAATATTTCGTTCGAGCTTGTGGGCGGCATGAGGATGATGCGTGTTTCGGGTCATCAAAAAGACGAGCCCAGCCCTGCTTGCAAGAGTAGAGAGCAATCTAGGCTTCCGCTTGTTGCTCTCCTTTGCTTGGCAAATTACGGCAAGACCGTGTTCAGCAAGATTCTCGGGACCTTATCTCGCCTGTGACCACTTGATATTACTATTCGAGTGGATGTGTTGAAAGGAGCCGCATCGCTTCTTCACTGTTTTCACATGATACTCGTCCTCTTGCCGCCTGCAGAGAGCTCTTGGAATTGGAGTCTGTATCGCTGGTGATTGGAATCATCGATCCATTGCTCCCTCGAGACTCTTCTTTGTTGTGTTTTGTGCTGGGGTTGTCAGATTAACGTGTCATCCTTTATCTCGATACCTCGGGGATGGACGGACTTGCGACACGGATTGCTTTACTTTCATTTCAAATCTCATACATCGAGTACAAGTCTAACATACGGTCTCGCCTATCACAGTCCAGCAAGTTTGCATTCCCACCGCCATCTTGAACGTCGATGTTCTGTGCCAGGCCAAGTCTGGTCTCGGTAAGACTGCAGTCTTCGTCCTCACCACATTGCACCAGCTGGAGCCTGTTCCGGGAGAGTGCTCGATCCTCGTTATGTGCCACACGCGTGAGTTGGCCTACCAGATCAAGAACGAGTATGCTCGTTTCAGCAAGTACCTTCCCGACGTCCGCACCGCCGTCTTCTACGGTGGTACTCCCATCCAGAAGGATCTCGAGGTCCTGGCGAACAAGGAGTCTTACCCCAACATTGTCGTCGGTACTCCCGGTCGTCTGAACGCTTTGGTCCGCGACAAGAAGCTGTCTCTGCGCAATGTCAAGGCTTTCGTTCTTGACGAGTGTGACAAGATGCTTGACCAGATTGGTGAGTTCTGTTTCATCCCGTGATCCGTATGCATGCTAAACATACGTCATAGACATGCGCCGCGATGTCCAGGAGATCTTCCGTGCTACCCCCGCCGATAAGCAGGTTATGATGTTCAGTGCCACCCTCTCTCAGGAGATCCGGCCCGTCTGCAAGAAGTTCATGCGCAACCCTCTCGAGGTCTACGTCGACGATGACACCAAGCTCACCCTTCACGGTCTTCAGCAATACTACATCAAGCTCAGCGAGGCGGAGAAGAACCGTAAGCTGAACGACCTTTTGGATAGCTTGGAATTCAACCAGGTTATTATCTTCGTCAAGAGCACGCTCCGTGCTCAAGAGCTCGACAAGCTGTTGCGCGAGTGCAACTTCCCCAGTATCGCAGTTCACTCCGGAGTGAGCCAGGAGGAACGGTAAGTCCGCCTCAGCAGGAGATCAGGGGGGAGGTTACTAACATCCTGTAGTATCAAACGCTACAAAGAGTTCAAGGAGTTCAACAAGCGTATCTGTGTCGCGACTGACGTTTTCGGTCGTGGTATCGATATTGAGCGTATCAACCTCGCTATCAACTACGATTTGCCCGGTGATGCCGACTCCTATCTCCACCGTGTCGGTCGTGCTGGTCGTTTCGGTACGAAGGGTCTGTCCATCTCCTTTGTCAGCACCGAGGACGACGAGAAGGTTCTCAAGGACATTGAGAAGCGCTTCGAAGTTGCCCTTCCGTAAGTTCTTAATCCATCTATCCTTGCAATATAGACTAACAAGGACTTTTAGCGAATACCCCGAGGGCGGTGTTGACTCCAGCACCTACATGGCTTAGACCAGTGGTGGTTGAAGCCACGGGCTGTTGAATACGATCAAGCTATTTCCTTTATATCTCGTCGTCAGTTTTTATTATTTCCTTTTGGCGTGATGGTTCGGTTACATTTTCCTCGCTCTTCGGCGAGGCACTGGTTGGATTATGCCGGGAAACACCAGAGACATCTAGGCAGAAAAGCATACTGAGTCATAAGCAAGCAACTACCGGATACCAGTGCCTTTTAGCATGACAGCTGTATTATCAATGTATGTTTGAGTGGGAAGTTCCAGCACGTAGATCAGTAGATCGGCGCGTCTTATGAGTTGTTCAATAACGTAACATCGACGCAACAACTCGGAAGCCTCTTTCTGATAAGCAAGAAGAATCTCCGCCAGTGCTCCTTAAGGTAAAAAAAAAGGTAATTGACCTTGGGCGAGTGAGTTATCGATAAGCCCGCCCGCCTGCCCCTGTGATTCATGGAAATAATGACGCAACACGAGGAAACGGCCCCTCCTGCTCCTGGTACTTTCCCCCACTTGAATTACAGAGAACACGAGAATGAGTTTATGAAGTGATTGATTATATTCCGTGCCTTTTCTCATCTCTGACTTACCCTCTCTCTGTACACGCACACAAACACTCTCTCTCTTTCTCTTCCTCCCCCCCCCCCCCCTCACACTTTCACTCAAATCCCCTCTCCCCTCAATTCGAAACCATGAGCCCCCGGTGCTTCATCATCCGCCACGGCGAGACCGAATGGTCCCTCAACGGCCGCCACACGGGTACCACCGACCTGCCCCTTACCGCGAACGGGGAGAAACGCATCAAAGCCACCGGCAAGGCCCTGGTGGGGAATGACCGATTGATCGCGCCGCGGAAGGTCGTCCATGTGTATGTTTTCCCCCTTCCCTTCCCTCTTCCCCTGCTTCCCAGTTTCTCCAGCCGTGCACGCAGAAGTGTTGTGTTGTGTTGTTGTTGTTGTTGTTGTTGTTGTTGTTGTTGTTGCGGTTTGTTTCCGGGACATCCGGATTCCAAACCTCCACGATGCTGTGCGTTGCGCAACGAGTATACCCGCCCCACACCCACACACACACAAAGTCATGAAAGACAAGACTAACACGGAACCCCCGTGGGCGAGGTGGGGAGAATAGATACGTCTCGCCGCGAGCCCGCGCGCAACGGACGCTCGAACTGCTCGAGATCGGGTGCAAGGAGCGGCTGCCGTGGACGGCGGCGCGCAAGCCCGAGGCGGAGGAGCCGATCCGCACGGAGGCGCGGGTGGAGGTGACGGAGGCGGTGCGCGAGTGGGACTACGGCGACTACGAGGGGTTGACGAGCCAGCAGATCCGGGAGGTGCGGGCGCGGAACGGGGAAGGGAGCTGGGATATTTGGCGCGATGGGTGTCCTGGGGGAGAGTATGTTCTGTCCCCGCTTGTGCCTTACTGGAATACAAAAAAAGAAAGAAAGAAAGAAAGATTGGATTGGGGATTCCTATTGGTGACCATGATGAGTTGCTGAAGGATTGTTCAGTGTGTGTGTGTGTGTCTGCTAACAAGAGCGCGATGAACCCAGATCCCCCGAAGACGTGATCGAGCGGCTCGACGCCCTCATCGCCGAGATCCGCGCCAAATACCACGGCCCGTGTTTCGAGTCCGAGTCCGCCAAGGGGGATGTCCTGATCGTGGCGCATGGACATATCCTGCGGGCGTTTGCGATGCGGTGGACGGGCAAGCCGTTGACGGAGACGGCGTTGATTTTGGAGGCTGGTGGTGTGGGCACGTTGAGGTAGGTCTTCTTGCCCCAGCTTTTCCTCTGCTTCTCGTCCCTCTTTCTCTTGTGTCAAGTGCAGTCGAACTGACCCCCCCCGGAAAAAACAAACAGTTACGAGCACCACAGCATCGACGAGCCCGCGATCATCCTGGGTGGAGGGTTCGTGGTCGACTCCTAATCCCCATCCTTGTTTTCGATTCCTGCTTTCCTCGAACCAGACACGGTAGGAAGTAGCGTATGACGGAAATTTGGTAGACTGCCAGATAGCGTTGTACTGGCAGTGGCGATAGGTGGTAATGGTGATGGTGACAACGGGGAATGAAGCGTCCCCATTGACGATCAAAGAGAGCAATAGGATCAGCCTCCAACATAAATAGCCGTTAGCAACATATTCAATAAATAGATTGAGCCATAGATCCCAAGAGAAAAAAAAACCCACATTGATTGTCCCCGATGAATAACCCATAGCATTACCCCCTCCCTCCCTCTCTCTCTCCCTCTCTACCAAAGGCCTAAACTTCTCATTCACTCTCACTCTCGCCCCCAGCCCCAGCAGAACCAGCAGAACCAGAGCCAGAACCAGAACCACCACCACCTTCAGTCTTGATAATCCCCTCCTCACCCAACACCTTCGCCGACCCCATAAACAGGGCCCCAACATATCCCCCCAGGAAGCGCATATCCTCCGCCTGCACGGCCGTCATGCGCACCAGGTTCTCCGTGTCGCGGAGGTGGCTGTTCAGCTGCGCCAGCTGCGCGTGCAGGTTGGCGTACTGCCGGGTTTTGGCCATGGACATGCTGGTAGTGCTGCTGCTGCTGCTGCTGCCGCCGCCGCCGTAGCCCATGGAAGGAGCCGCCGAGGAGGGAAGGATGGAATGGCGGGGCATGTGATGGGATTGGCTTTGGCTGTGGGTGTATTGGTGGGAAGGAGGCATGGCTGTATACGTTTTTCGCTCGATATATAGTGAAACTCGTGTGTTGGCAAAGGCGGTAGCTGGCGAGGAGATCGGGTCCGTGGTTGTAGTTGTGGTTGAGGTTGAGGGCTCTCCGTTTGTTGACATCTACGGTTCGGATCACGTGCGAGCGTCGCCGCGGAGAATCCCCCAAAAGCTTTACACCTTACACCGAATACCATTGCAACAAAATGTTCCGATCGAAGTTGGTTCATTGTTGAGGACATGGTTCTTTCTAATCAAATGAACAGTTGCCGTGCCATCTGACGGCCTGGTGGCTTGCACTATTACTCTGCATGAACATGAACCCAGCCAAATCAAACACAGCAATCACCCGAATAAATGATGGACCCCCTGCTCTTTTTATGCGCCAGAAACCAGACCACGATGAAATAAAACGGCAGGGCTGCATAGGAACATTAAAAAAGAAAATGGTTTAGGAAATGCAAAGGAGGGCATGCATGTCAGACTGACTTGGATGATATAAGGAAAAGAATCAGGCAGAGATAATAAAATCAGGAAGACGACGGAACCACATGTATGAACTCGACAAAATCATGCGCCGACTCGCATAGTGTACAACAATTTGTCATGCAGAAGCAGAATGTATGATCAGTACTGGAGAATGAACGTCCGTGGTATAGCTGCGAAAAGTAAAAAAAAAAGAAAAACGTATTTATCGCTCGAGCGGAGGCCCGTCAGCATGGGAATCAGGAATTGCTGCGGAGGTGATTGAGGCAAGAGATGTGGGTGAAAGAGATAGTCACCCCCACAAGCAACACGTGCGCAACAGCGCCCGCTCAACCAAATGAGAAATTCAGGAAGATCCTTAAGTCCGTTGCATATATGTGAACAATTGAACAAAACCGGAGGATGACACAGGATGCGGTTCAATCCTCTTTATTTTTGGTGCCGAGCTTCTCATTAAAAGTATATCCTTTATAAGAGGCAAAAAGCAACCTGGATGGATTCCCCTTCATGGCAATCCAGTACAGGCGGAGAAAGAGGAAGTATAGTGGACACGGCAAGCATGCGCACAGTTAACAGGGTTCAACGTGCTCAGCTGCCGGCGAGGGGAGGGCTGGAGGGGAAACGGTTTCTTGGCTATCAACGGACAGGCGCCGCAGCTTGCTGCGCGCCGAGGCTGATCTGGCTGCTGTGGGCTGAATTCTCGGAATCGAGGTTCGCACTGGCGCCGCTATCACCACTCCCCGCGCTGGCGCTCGCACTTCCAGTCAGACTTCTATCCTTTGGGGTGCCCTTGGTGGGATACGAATTGCTCACCCCAATTTGTTGCTCAACTTGTTGCGGGCCTACCGCATTACCATGGCCTGGGGGATACCTGGGAACAGGTGCCCGCATGTGTCCCGGAGGAGACGGATGACCGCCGTTCGGGGCCCCATGAGGAGGGCCAAAGTGTTGATCCTGAGCAGTGGCCGGACGGCCCATGCGAGGACCAGGCGGGCCGCCGTAAGGAGTCGCTGGCGAATGGCTGTTTCTCCTACTGTGTGGGTAGGGGTGCGGGGGATAGTCGCCCATGCGACTCGTGGTCATGGAGTTGGTACGTGAACCTGCAGCCATCTGGTTTCTATCAACAGCGCCGTATCGGTTTGACGAGTAAGCCATCATGGGGTTATCCAAGAGGGAATCATGGAGTCCCGGAATTTCCTGCATGATGCGGTCACTGGTACGTTTTCTTCCTCCCCCAAAGTAGCGGCTGAATGTACCCGACCGACCGCCGCCGCCGCCATTGGACAGAAGCTCAGGGTTCTTGCGTATTTGGCTGGCACTCGGAAATTTCTTGGCCCTTCGCGACGTGATGCTCAGCATATCCACATTGTCCGGGTCGATGTTTGGGACCAGACTGGTATCCATGGGATCGAAATAATCATCCTCGTCTTCCTCATCGAAAGTGGCCCTAGAGGGGGCATTCCTGCGGGGCGGTCCCCGCCTCATGCTCATTTCTTGTTCCCGAAGCTGCAACTCGCGCTGCCGCAAAGCCAACTCTCGTTCTCTCAAGGACAGGTCAGCAGTCGACTGCGAGTGGGCAGGACCAGGAGGGACGTCGGGATAACCGTTAAGGTTCCTGTGAGGAGGCCCAGCTTCACCAGCGTCATCATAGACAACTAGGTGGCTGAATTCCTCCAGTCCCTCCAGAGACGGCTCACGAGGAGGCATTCTGGCAGAAGGAGGCGGAGGTTGTGTGCTTGGGGGTCGTGACATTCCGGGCATGGGTGGTCCACGTCTAGGAGGGGGCATCATCATTGCAGAGCTTGACCTTCCAGGAGGCGGGCGCATGGGAGGACCATTCCTCGGTGGGGGAGCTGAGGACATCCGGGTGGGTTGGGGTGGCGGAGCTTGGACAGACGGGGTAGGCGATTCGCGAGGTTTGCTTAGATTAGTGGTATTAACGTGGTGCAAAATAGCGTAGATGGTTTCGATACGGGGCAGGCGGATATTGAGTTCTGTTGCCAGCTTGATTGGGGATCCGAGGTACGTCTCGATCTCCATAGGACGACGAGCCTGGAAATCCTGATACATAGTGTTGGGAGGCTGAGACGCGGCCATCGCATCCATTGTCTTCTGAGGAAAGTCGCTTGGAAAAGAGCAGCCATGCGCTTTGGCCAAACCAATGAGCTCGTCAATCACATCGGTAACCAATTGCCGTACTCCGACCTTCTGCAGGAGTTCTGTTATGTTTCCGTTGTCAAACATGACGCTTGTTGGGTAAAACGCAATAGGCCTGGATGGTGGCTGATTAGTGTCATAGACTCCAAGGAAGGATAACTCGGAATATTCACCCTATGATACGCTCGAATTGCTCTTGTCTGATGTTGTTCGACACTTTGCAGTCCACTTGACCGGAGCTCAAGGTCATCGCCAAGGCGGCCGCCATGTCGGTTTGCATAGCCGATGGAAGGGTCGAATTGTTGTTGGTAGCCCCGACCCAGATATTCGATGAGTTCAAATGCTCAAACTCGCTGGGCCCAATCTGCGAGATCTCCACACCAGAAACGAGCGAGAGGACTACATTCGTGGGGAATCGTTGTTCAAGGTGTGATTCGACGCCAAGGGTGTTGGTGGTATTGAGCAGAATGCAGGTATGTTGAGGGGTAACCACGGATTCAATGACTGCTGCCAGGTCGTAGACATCGGGCAAGGCCTTCACGCAAAGAATAACATAGTCATATGCATTCTCTCGTGATGCCGCCTCTTCCGGTGAACGTACCACTGTAGAATGGCCGATGTCAGCTGACCAGCACAACCGCTTGCGGTAATCAGACACGAAAAGGATAACATACCGTGACGAGGTTTGAATCTCTCATTGCCGAATGCTTTCGACCTATTGGTCAATTGTTAGAGGCCTTCTGCGTTGTGTAGTATAGCCAGAGAGACAAACTTGAAAGACACTCCGTATTGCGAAACCGCCTCAAACCCCGATTTCCAGACTAGCGTTACGTCGCAGGAGGTGGACGCCTGGAGCCTCCAGGAAAGAAAAGCTGAGATAGCGTTGCTGCCGACTACACAGACTCGTGTTAGACGACGACCCATATTGAGATTGGCGATCGAAGCAGTTGGAGAAGAGAAATCATTGAAGGGGGTGGCAGCGTGAGGCTGATCCGGAGCACAAGACGGAGGGAAACCGTCCGTCCTGGCCGAATCTGATACCGGCGAAGACTGAGAGACTAACCTGACAAAACGCGCAGGCGCGGTGGAGGAGCCATGGTTACCGATCAAAATTGGAAAGAAGCGTTCCCACCAGCCGAGATGGTGGAAAAAAAAGGGAACCGTGAGTTATCGCCTAACTGCGAGCCGGACCAAAGTCGCCAAAGATCACGGCTGGGATGCGCGATTGACGTAGGCTGCCACCGAACGAAGGAACGCAGTGCGATCGCCGAAACTAGGATTATCGATTCGATTCGAATGCTGGACACACGCGATAGGCGCCAAGTGTAAGATAGTGAAAGTAAGGGGAATCACGGAAGGAAAATTTCGCGAAAATTAACACAGAAAAAGTGAAGGAATTCCAACCAGGACAAATGAAAGGAGGTGGTGATGATCGTAGCGAGGGAGAGGGAGGGAGGGAGCGTGAGGGAGAGTTAAAAAAACGATTTTGGCGGAACGAGAGGAAAAGAGAGAGAGAGCGAGAGAAAGAGAGGGGTGAGGGAGGAGAGAGAGAGGGAGGGTGTGTGAGGAGAAAGAAGGAAGGATAGTTAGTTAGTGAAAGGGGAAGAAGATAGCAGCAATCAGAGAGGTTGAAGGAGAAAAGAAGAGATTCGGAATGGGAATAGGAATTATTGGGGATGGGGATAAGGTGTGGATTGGATGGTTTGGCTGTGTTCGCAGTAGCAGCAGTAGCAGCAGTAGCAGCACCAGCACCAGCAAAGCACCAGCAATCAGCATCAGCAACCAACGCCAGCAAAGATGAACCGGGAGTTCGATTCAGTTCAGTTCAGTCAGCTTTGGGCGGATGGACAGCCCAAATGGGAGAGCTGATGGAGCCGTACGTATCTTTTTCCCCCTCCACGGTGATAATAATAAAAATAATAATATTTTTTAAACTTTTTTTTTGGTTTACTTTTTTTTTTCTTCTCTTACCTGGTTTGCTTGTTCACCCATAAACCTCTAACGGTCGTCGTGGATCCCCCGCCAGGGCTCGATCCGGAAACGGAGGCAGGAAAGAAAGAAAAGATTGACTGTCGACGGAGAGAGTAAGGAGGGGAAAGGAGAAAGACGGAAACAAAAGAGCTGCAAGCGACAATCAAATGGCGAGAGAAGGGTGTGTGTAAGTAGTTAACTTACCAGGTGTGTGTGACTGAGTAAGAAAGAATGTCTGCCTCCGGGGATGGGAAAGGATGACAAGGCGTGATGAGGACCCCCCCAGAGAGAGAGAGAGAGAGAGAAAGAGGCAGACAATAACACTGATGGCCTGAAATTGGCCGCATGCTAAGAATACTACTTAGTGAACTCCGGAGCACTGCCTTTGTTGCTGAGTTACTGACACTAACTATGCTCATATGCTACGCCTGCTATGATAGTTACCTGCAGGCATGGAGTAAACAAGCCATGATCTGCCGTATGTCAATCACCACAACATTCAAATTGCTCGGGGGGTTAAAGGGACTGAGTGCCCATTTATTGTTAATCATTGACTGGATACCCACTTGTATGGCAGTCCAACAGAAACCCATCATATTGAGGCCACTGGGAACATTCACACAGGAGATGCTGATAACTGATGAGTAGTAGTTATTCTTCATCCAGACTTGTTGTACGAACTAACCCGTTCAGAATATTGTCCACGCTACAGGCTTACTTCCGTCCTATCGTTCCCAATCAACAAACCGGTTTTTGTATGTTCGGTTCGCTTCTTCAGTCCCTCTTGCGCTCTCCGGCCTGTTATCCTACTGCTAAATATTTGGGCATGTTCAATTGTTCGTTTGTATTTTGGCTAAGTCTGGTACTTGGGATATGCAATTACCGGCAATAAAACCACTCGATAGACTGCGGTGCTAAGAGTATTTAGTAGTAGTCAGGCGACATTGTTTCCTCCTCCTACCCCCCGGCGACGAAAGCAGGCCAGCCCCCATGATATCTCTGATAAGCGCAGTCATCAATCCATTTCTCTCCATCTCGATATCATTCTTTTTTACCCCTGAATGTGAACCAGGGACGAGTCAAGTCCCCCACCAGGCGTTCAATCCATGGAATTATCCTTCGCCCACAGCAATTAGTGTCCACCGCTACTAAGCTACGGACAGATGCACGTATGACCGCGCGCCGCCGACGACAGCGACGACGAGGACGAGCGACGACGATGACGATGACGACGGAAGAGCGGGGGCTGTTGAGGAACGAGGGCAAAGGGGGGGGGGAAGAGGAGGCGGAAACAACGGGGTTCAATTCAAACGCACTGCCCGTCGAAATATCCTGATTATGCCATTGTTTGGTTGTTTGAGGAAATAAGATCGTACATAATTCTTTTTTAAGTGATTTAACAATCTTATTTTGATGAGACACAACAATCCACATCCACCTTGGGACCTCAATGGTGGGTTTGGGGCCAACCATGATGCGACCAAGCGGTCATCGAAACCAGTGCAGCAGCAGCAGCAGCAGCACAGCACACCCTCCCGTCATTCATAATCCACCCTGCCTGAAACCCACATCGCCGGTGGTGGTCGAGGTCAGGCCCGGGATTCGCCCGCTGCAATCGGCGACAGGGAGATTGGCCAGTTTATGATGACTAGACTACTAAGGCTCTTCGGTAGAGTGAGGGTAGGGTACGTACTGGCTAGGCTGGCATCGGCTGCGGGTCCCTCCAACGATAGACTTGGAACAGCCAAAGTGCGCCATTGCACCAGAACTACGAAAACTACGAATGGGAAAAGCGGGTGTGCCTCCGTTGCGGTCGCAGGAAGTGGGCGGTTCCGAGTTTTATTTTCAGGCTCTTTGCGCCACTAACCCGGTTCTGGTAACAAGCTAGAAACCAAGGTAAAACAGGGAGGATTGAGGATCAATATATATCCAGCTGGATCCTCGATCTTCCTTCCTCCGTTGACTTCGCAGCCCGTATGAGGGGTGGATGGTTGGATGGATGGATGGATGGTTGGGATGGTGGGGAGGTTCAACCATCACGATGCATGCATGCATTGCATAAAAGCACCCAACTATACGGAGTACTTCCCAAACGACTACCTACTGTATGTCCGTAGCTGAGGGAAGCTGAAGGTCTAGGCAATCAGGTGTAACTGGTACCCAAGACCAGTCAATGCTCAAAGCAAGCAACCACCCTCCCTCATTGAAGATCGTTGACCATCCTAAAATAGGTGACGGTGCTTCCAGACCAGACCCTGGGTGCTGCCGATTATCCAAGCTCAACTGAGAAGTGGTACGAAATGGACCGACCCTCCATGCTTAAATCTCTCGACGAGAAGCTTCGATACTCATCCCCAGGGTAAGATAGACAGAAAGAGAGAGTGTGAAAGACCAATTCCAACCCCCAGACCTCTCAGCTTGCAGCTCATCTCACAAAGAATTCATTTCTCCGGCAATACCATATAATCCATCTTCATCACTCCGGCGATACTAGCAACTATTTGTTTTTTCTTTTCTTTTTCTGAATGGATATTTACCTCATACTCTCTCAGGGGAATTTCGCCGCTGGAACAACCGGGAAGGGGGCGGCGGTGTTTGTCGAAGCCGGCATGCCACAGAATCTACCCGCAGTAGGGATCGACAAAAAGTCCCATACCGAGCCCGGATCCGTAGGACCTTTTCTGTTTGCAGGGTAATCTGGGGGATGCCATTGAACGGCTGTCTCCGCGAACAGCAATGCTGCATGTTGCCCCTGATTAACACAGTACAATGGGGAATTTCGCCACTGGCTTTTGATCATTGACATGAAACCGTGAAGGAGAAAGTATGGACTGATAGAGTTATGGTCTCAGATTGACTTTTCTAAAGTGTATTGACTCGCCGGTTAACTCCGTCCGCCGGTTGCATTCATAAAACAACCCAGATACGCATAACATAATGAACGTGATGGTGGCTTGTTCTTGTTCAACATCGAATTCAAAACATTGAGGAGGGGTGAGTGAGGGCGCAAAAAGAAAGGAATGCAGTACCTAAGTCTGATTAGTTAGGACATGCAGTACTGTACATCCATCAGACACGCCTTAATGTTCCGTCAATCATTTGAATGACCATGGAGCACTAAGTACTGAGTAGTTAATATGGCAATTACAGAGTACTATCCATCCCTTTCGCACCTTTGTCAACCCCGCCATGCCATTTACTTACGGAAGAGAGATAAATGATCAATAGCAATGCGCTGCATCAGACCTGGCATGTGTGGAAATGCACTCGAGTGCATGAGTCTCCGAGCCTTGAAGGCAAAGAGGGGAAAGGGAGTCTAGTATTCCGTAGTCTACTTGTAGTCAACTTACTTGAAGTGGAACCCGCAGCATCGACGGAAACCAAGGCATCTTTCTTAGCGGGAATCTAGCTCCTGCTAGCCGGGGCTGGTCGAGAACTAGAACAAATCACATTGTTCGATTACCACAAGTTAGCGGCGTGTTTCTATCTATGGTACTGCCTCGATTGTAGTGGGTCTGGTACTTATCAAATCTTACTGGAACAAGGAAATCTCTTTCCCCCCCCCCCTTCAGTTTCTTCTTTTTCAAGCAGGCAACTTGCTTTGGCCAAAACCTACGGAGTTAGGAAAAAGGGACACAAGAGATGCAAGTCAATGGTGGTCGGATGAGATGCCAAGATTCCTCTCCCGGCCATCGCTATGCTTAAGTAACCTACCAAACTGTGCATCTGTCAGCATACGAAGGATTCCTGCCAACGGGTGCCTCACTCTCCGTTACTTGCACTGTAAGTTGAATGCCAGAATGGTTAGACGGTTGCAGGAAGAGGAAGCTTTCGTCTCTCATTGGCAGACTCTCGTTGAATTGCATTCGGCCGTACAAAATCATCGCAAGATTCTCTTTTGCATTCTTAATCTCCGGTCCCTGAGATCGTGATCATTGCCGGTGGGCCGCAAGTGCCAACACATCATCATGGGTGTTGTTGACTTTCCCCTTCCGGTCTCGAACCACGGGCGTGGCGAATTATTCTAGAAGGTGATGTATTCCATTGCGCATCTTGGTTGCAATCCCCGGGACCCAGCTCGATCGAACCCAAGGTAATGTTCGACTACGACAATACCACACATAGCCATCAACATCGGGTACAACAAACTCAATTGAACGACCTGTGCTTGAACCCGATTTACTAGAGCGAGATTTGAACCGCAATAGCTGCTCGAATCCGAGAAGTGCTGCCTACATGCAGACTATGCTAGCGCATGCGCTGTATGCAGTGACTATCCCGATAGTGTCTGGACGCCTGGAAGCCTGTTGCGTATGATTCGGTAGACCGTGCCCTAGCAAGAGCATTCTACTGTATAACTGAAATAACCAATAAATCAGTCAAGAATCCACTTTCTGTGAAGCTGATTACTTCCCAGTATGTATGGCATTTCGCGATGGACCCCTTCTCATCCAGGCTGGACCACGTACAACACATGGGAAACCAGGGCCCATGCCCATGGCCATCACATTCAAAACCCAACTGAAAACAGTCGAACCACGGCATATCCGAGCCCGCCCCGCGATAGAGAGAGAAAAAGAGCCAAGGCCGGTCCAATGTGCAATGAACGGCCCAACCAGGAGAGGTTGTGGTCTGGGCTCAACCCCAACCCGACCATAGCACCTGCAGACTAAGAGCTCAGCTCGTTACAGAAGACGACGAACACATCCATGCAGAAGATTGGGGCCCATCCCCAATGCGGAACCCGCGCCAGAGCTTTGAAGTTTGAATGGCTGCGCCGATCCGATTTGTAGCCGCAACCGCAAAGCGTTGCCTAGTATCTATCACTCATGCTTATTCGGCCTTCGGGGGAGATATACAAAATTAGTCCGGGATGGCTGTATCTTGTGCTGAGCTGGCTCTCCACTGGTGGTTTTGTATGCTGGACGTCAGCTGCTACTGTTGCTCTGGTGTAGCTGTAGTGTTTCACACGATACATCTTTGCCATACGCTTTCCCCGTGAAATTGGGATAAAAACTAGAAAAGCAGTCGGGTGATGCGCTGGTACAGACATAACATCGGACCCGCGAAGTCCCGCGTTTGACCTGTCATGTTACCTCTAGTGCCATGGTTGGACAAGGGTACCGAGTATTTTGAAGAGGGGCCTTGAAGTAGAGAATTTTGATGGCTGCGATTACGGCTCGCGGATCTTGCACGGCATTGATGAACTCACTCGTCCGGAATCAATGTATATTTAGCGGCTATTGCCCGCGCCGCATCTAAAGGCACAACGATGGGAGAAGATAAGGGAAGAGGCAGATAGAAGCGGCTGACCCAAGGATGCAGGCCAACCACTGAGTAGATAGGATTGACAATTGTGGCGTGATACGCAGTCTGCTAGTAAATTACTAGCATTCTACCTACCGCGTCAACTTTCGAGTTTAGACTAGCTCGAACGTGCAGACGTCATGATTGTGTCGCGAACCCCGCAAGACACGAGTACGCACACGAAGATCGACTGCGAAGCTCTCTCTCTGCCGGGGTCGCGGGAAGAGTCTTTGCTCGGGAGGGCTTTGACCACATTGCTCTGTGACAGAGCTCAATTCTTCATCGGTTGGTTCGTTTTTTCGAGTCTCTTGGCTGATGAAAGTTGTTTGTTCTCGTCGGGACGCTGACGATCATGACACAACAGTAAAGAAACATCATCGCATCGCGTGGCACATGCTGAAGCAGAAAGCAAACTGCAGATTAGTCATCTGAGGCGAAGATATGCCGTGTTCAGGGGTCAAATTTAAACAGACAAGATGTGGACGATGATCTTGCCGAATGCGTTGATGGGGGGGGATCCATGAGAGCAAATGAGAAACAATCAAAGTGAAGAGGTCTAGAAGGAGTTGACATGCTCGATCCCGGATTGTGGGTGGAGCCCCTCGGATCATGGATGCAACCAGCAGATGCTCGGCTGACTCAGCGGGAAAGATGCAACAAGGAATGCCGAACGATGGATGCCTCGTATTCCTGGCGGTTAAGGATTAACTCGGGCTGATTTGCACTGCATGACATTCCACTCGGCCCAGTCCAGTTGAGTTTGTATAGCACGTACCGACATTATGCATGCATACATGCGAAGCCACCAAGTCAGCTTCGAAAGCAGCTCCTCAATTCGACTTGACTGTTGTGTCCTAATTCTGTAACGTGCGCAGATGGGGGAAAGTGCTGTATGAGGATGATCAAGTGAGGTTGGATCGATTAACTACTGAGCTAGTAGTTATGCAGCATCTTACTAAGCGAGTCACATTTATTTATGCAGTGTCTACGAGGGGCAATATCTGATAGAACCCGACGGAGGGGCTTGAGCCGACAAGAAATTGTGATCGTGATATAGGCATATCTTGACTTAGTCTCAGGTCCCAGCCATTCTTCACAAGTATGTACTATGTAGAATTCAAATTCCCCAGGGCTCTGTGCGAATACACAAATGACTAATCAATATTCAACGCAGAATTCTCCACACTTGATGGAAACCCATCTATCTGATAGCAGGAGAATACACAAGCGATAGAGAGATCTTGATTGACCCAAAGCATCTCAAGAAAAAGCTTGTCTCCCGCGACTAGACTTGTGTATACGGCAGCAGGCGAGGAGCAACAATGACTCGAACCTCGCGCAAGCCACCCCGAGACCCAGCTCAGCTCTCGGGGAAGCCGCTGGCAGAGACCCTAGAGCCATCACCCATCCTGCACAGCGAGACAGAAGACTGGACGACCTCTCGGGATCTCACCGAACATGGTCTGTTGTTTGTGCCCGAAGTGATGCAGGATCTGACCCTGTACCTGCTGGCCAACCCCAACGTCAACTCCAGCCACCTGTTTCGGGCCGATATCCTCTTTGACAGTGAGGGGATAATGCGCACTCCGCGGGAGAAGGCGCAGTCCTTCGCGCTCACTGGCAATGCCAATGCGGAGGCCATCGCATCCACTGAGATTCTCGATGGCGCAGAGGACGAGGTCGAGGTCGAGCCCATCCCCGCGCGCGATGTCCCTGGCTTCACCCTGACCAGGACCATCGTCCGACGCCTAGTACCCCGGAACCCTAAGCTGGACCGGACCCTGGACCAAACCTGTCACTTCTACGAGGCGGAGACGACGGCTGGAACTGAAGGGGGCTGCAGACGCTCTCTGGTGATCTATACACCTCACATCACCAAGGAGGAGGACATCCCCTACTACCACCCGACCCTGCGCTCTCTAGCCTATCTATACGACTATATCACCACCACCACCACCATCACCACCACCACCACCCCAGAGCATCCCTCCCAAGACCCAACCTCAGGCTCAAACCCAGGCCCAGGAACCCTAACCTTACACACGCTCCTCTTTCCCAACCTCCCCATCACCAACCGCCTGGAACGCACTCTACAAGCCCTCCTCAACACGCAAATCCGTCTCGCCCGGACCACCCGCCTACCCACCACCACATCATCGCCCTCCTCCACCTCCACCAACCAAAAACACCTACTAGGCGCCAACAAAAACCCCCTTAAAGACAACATCCTCCCGCAACACCTCGTCCAAGACACCTACACGCGCCTCAAGGCCAAATACGCCAGCGACCTGTGCCAGAGATGGGTGGAAACCACGGAGCCCTCGAAGCACGTCTTCGAAGACCTATCCATCGCCGCCTTCCTCATCGAGCTCTGGCGCAGCATGTACGGCGTCGTCCCGAGTGATGAGCGCAGCCCACCCGGGTGTGCTATCGGCACCACCACCACCACTGGCCCAAAATTCCCCGGCTTCGTAGACGTAGCCTGCGGCAACGGCGTCCTCGTCTACATCCTACTACAAGAAGGCTACGAAGGCTGGGGCTTCGACGCCCGCCGCCGCAAGACGTGGGCGATCTTCCCGGAGCGGATTCAATCCCGTCTGAAAGAGGAGATCTACATCCCTGCGCCTTTCAGCGATGCAGTCGGTGTCGGTGTCGGTGTCGGTGTCGGCGAACCGTCTAGTAGTTCCAGCTCCAACCCTGTCTCCAGCTCCAACCCCTTCAACCTCACCGTCCCAACGCACACCGGCCACTTCCCCGCCAACACCTTCATCATCTCCAACCACGCCGACGAACTGACCGTCTGGACGCCCCTTATGGCCGCGCTGCTGTGTCCCACCAACCCCTCCCCGTTCGTCGCCATCCCCTGCTGCTCGCATGCCTTGTCCGGCGCGAAGTACCGGTATCCGCCGCCGAGGGGTGCATCCACTGCAGCTAAAAATAAGGAACAGGAGGAGCAGCAGCAGCAGCAGCAGCAGCAGTCCGACTCCGGGGACTTGAAGGCCCTGCGGAAGGAGCGGCAGGATGCGCAGGCGTCGGAGGCTGGGTTCCTGAAGAGTATGTATGGGTCGCTGACGGCGAAGACGATGGCGGTGGCCGAGGAGGTGGGGTATGAGGTTGAGAAGACGTTGTTGCGGATCCCCAGTACGAGGAATATGGCTGTGGTTGGGGGCAGGAGGGGGACGATGCTAAGGTGGAAGGGGGGAGGGGGTGAGTTGACGAAGAACGAGGCGCAGAAGGCGGAAGTGGTGGGAGATGCTGATGCTGATGCTGATGCTGATGCTGATGCTGATGCTGATGCTGATGCTGAAGAGGTTGTGGCAAAGGTCATGGCTGCTGTGCAGCGGGAATGTGCTCGAGAGGGAGGCGTGGAAGCCGCGGCGAAGATCTGGATAGAGAGAGCGAGAGGGATCAACAGGGGTCCGGGGATGGGGAAGCAGCGTGGTGGCGGGCATTGATAGGAAGTGCTCGAGAAACAGAAGGGCGTCCCTATACGAGGATTGAATTGTGAGGAAAGATGATGCAATAGAGCGGGGCTATTCTATAAAAGTTTCTAAGATTCTATAGACGTCGATGCTGAGCTCGGCTTGGCAAGAAATAAATGGCTGAGAAGGGAGTCCGCATACAGTGAGTGAAAAGAATCAAAAAGAATTACCCGAATAGTCCGAATGAGAAAAACACCACTAGAAGAACTCCGACCATGCATTTTCTATACAGAATGAGCGAAGAGATATCATTTGAAGTTACTTGCCTTCACCGACAAATCACACATCTACTATCGTCGGTATCACCATTGCTGAATTGGCACCGGATCACGGCTATCATAAGAGACAACAATGGCGAGCCATACGCATCGAATGCTTATGCCTCCTTGGGCTCGCGAGCTTCTGCCTTCGAAGAGGGATTGGCGGTCGGCGCCGAGGATGCGCGCTGCGCCGCGGCGGACTTGACAGCTGCTGCAACGGAACTGTCCCTGATGCGCTTCAGTCTCTCCGAGCGGGCTTCCCCAGGCAGACTACCCCAAACCGGATCAATGGAATCAGCTCGCCAGTTTGGCCGATGGCCAATTGCCCCACCTCTCGTTGGTAGATGCACCATAGGCGAGCCGCCTGCGCCGTCTTCACCCCACATCCTAACACGCTGGAGCTTACGCAGCTTGGCCAGCCCATACACACAGACGACCAGTGTGATAGCGAAGCAGGTCACAGAGACCGCGCCGAAACCCAGATCCGATTCTTCGATGAAGTTCTTCAAGTTCATTCCGTATAGTGCAGAGAAGAGGGTTCCAGTCGCGAGTCCGAGTGTGCCGATGCTGAATTTCAAGTCGAGAAGCATGAGGGAGTTGCGGTTGGCGTCCAGAATAGCCTTGACACTATACACGGAGGCAATTAGGTATTTATCCATGGCGAAACTTTGGAAGCAAGTAATACTCACACTTCTTCCGTGTTGCGGATCCCTGTTACCAAGTTGCCGCTAGCCTGGACAATTTCATCGCAGACTTTATGATATGATTCCAGTAGCATTTCGACTTCCTGGTGATCATCTTCCTCACGCTCGATATTCTTTTGACGCTCAGTGAGGTACATCGCCGCCAAGTCGTCGTCCGCTTCCAGCAGATCATCGATAGCATCACGTACAAGTCGGGCCTTCTGCTCGAAAGTACCCAGCTTCTTCGAGTAAATCAGCAGGTGCCGCAGCTTCTCCCGATCGATGTCCTCTTCCAGGGCCCGCAGAACGCGCACGACAGGTTCTCTGACGCCGTTGAACTCCTCCTCCAAACCACTTGTGACACTGATCAACACAGCTTCGAGCGCCCGGAACTCGTAAGGTAAAGCGCCCGCGCTTTGTCCCTGTCTTTGCCGCAGCTTGCCCTCCAGATCATAAACGAACAGGGACTGCATGTAGGAGTCGGTTGAGCCGTAGGCGTCAAACACAAGCACACGATCGGCCTTGATCAGAACGCGGAGGTGGAGAAGATTGATGAGAATCGCGCTGGGCCGGACCAGAATGTGCGGCAGGGTTGATGAGTCGATTTTGCGCAAGTCCCGTGGGAGAAGGCCATACTGGGCGCGGCTGTTAATGCGATTTCCTGCCCCTCATCACAATGTAGCATGCATGTCACTCACCTTGGCAATCAGCTCACTCTTCTTGAACTCCCCGTTCACCAGGGTGACATTTCCGTTGCTATCAAACTCCGTGCATCGCAGTCGCGGCTCGTTGGTAGCCTTGGCCGCCAATCCGCGCCCAAGTGTGAAGCCCGGCTCCGTGCCGTCACCGATCAATGTGGGCGGGCTGCACGCATACTTGTTGCTCTCCGCAGCCTTGCTCCGTCTCCAATCAAGGAGCCTGCGGAAGAGAGGCCGGTCTTTGGTGGAGACGGCGCGCGATGGTTGTGCATTAGGGACGTGAAATGCTGGCGTTGCGAGAGGTGGAGTAAATGAGGCTCGAAATCGTGCACCACCACAGCCTCGAGCTGAGAAACTCGGTAGCGGTAGCAGACTTGCCTGGAGCGGTTCTTGCGATGGTGGGGATTCGACCCGATTGCAGTTGTTGGTGAAGGTTCGCAGTGAAGGCAAACGAGGCGGCGGGCGAGTCTGGCCGCAGGCTGTTGGGTTGGCGGTGAAAAAAAGTGACTCGGACTGAGAGCGCAGAAACCGGAGAAGAGACGCCGACGGGGCTGAAGATTTCAGAGACGACGGGGATGGCATTTCTGAGGCGCGTGCGACGACTTCATCAAGAACCACAAAGACAACCGCCACTCATCCTTGGGTAGTTTCTGACCGGCGGAGATGGATTCGACTATCTTTTTCCCGCGCCCCAAGTTGCTGCGCGCCTCCGGGCCAATGATGATCCGGCTCCTTATCCATTCCATATCTAAGATAAAGATTCCAGTCCTCTTCTTTTTCCTCAACGCCTGCAAGGAACCATGACAGGCAGACTTCATTGGTGAACGATGGGTCCCGTGATTCATGCCTTCTAAGTCTCTTACACTGATCTATTTGTTGCGGTTTGTCTTCTCTGTATTCATGACTACTTCCGGGGGGGATGATATCTATGAGCCAGCACCCCGGCGGACCTGCCAACGTTCTCTGGGATGTCACTCCACTTTGGTTGCCGGTACTGATATAAACTTGGCATGAGGAAATCCTGAAATGCCTGCCCGCCTGCTGCCTGACTGGAGCAGTGCAATAAACGAGTGGTTAGACTGCTGCGGGAGGTGTGTTTACTGCACAGGAGAAGACTCATACATCCCAGCATCCTATAAAAAACTTGGATGCCACCCGATTGGATGCTCCATTCGTGCTATGACGTCACAATACTGAAAATGTTCCTGACTAAATAAATGGTGGGCCAAATGGCTGCCCAGCAACTCAGTACTACGTATCGTGTCTAAAATAAGTTGACATGACGAGACGCCAAAGTTCGAATTTTTGTCTATAGAATAAAGTAGTGCAATGCGTGCAAGAAGCTACAAGCTTCCGACTAGGAAGTATAGCTGCATTGCGCATGGACAGTCTTGCAAAGACACTTACCGGCCAGCCGCGCAACAAGCGCAGCAAACAGCAAGAAACGATATTGAACAAAGGTATCCGGCGCGAACGAATATGCTCAATGCACTGCAACGCCAGAAAAAATCATGGGAAAGGTAGATACGACGCAACAATCACCAATCATCATCGTCCTCCTTTTCGTCATCTGTCGATAGAAATCAGCTCTGAATATACCGCTAGAAGCGCATAGCAAATAAGGCATGTACTTACCGCTGCCGCTAACTTTCTGCTTTCTCTTGGCCAGGGCGTCCTGCAGAGCTCCAGCCAAACCTCCTTGAGGCGCGCTTCCAGCACTTGGTGTGGCCGCAGCTGACTCGCTAGAGCCGGGCACAAAGGCACCACTTCGGTCTTTCTTTTCCGAATCTTTGACCCTCCGCAAGCCCGTACCTCCCTTCCCTCCAGATGCTCGGATGGCAGCCATGAGGTCATTTCTACCTGCATCAGGAGCAGGCAGCGGTGGGGCGGCACCACCTGGCGGGGGTGGGGGCGGAGGCCCACCAGCCCCAGGAGGGGGTGGAGGTGGAGGAGCGCCAGATCCAGGGGGAGGAGGGGGAGGAGGGGGAGCAAAACCGCCTGGTGCGGGTGGCGGCGGCGGAGGGGGAGGCGGTCCAGTGCTGGACGGAGGCGGCGGCGGCGGCGGAGGTATCGAAGGCGCTGCATTTGAGGAAGGGTATGACGAGGGTGGTGGCGGCGGTGGAGGAGGCACGCTCGACGATGGTGGTGGGGGAGGAGGCGGCGGACCAGCAGCACTCGTAGGTGGCGGCGGAATCGGCCGGGAGCTGGAAGGCACAGGTGGAGGAGGCGGGGGTACTGAAGCCGGACTTCTTGGAGGAGGCGGCGGAGGACCTGGGGCGGCAGCATTGGGGATTTTGGGTGGTAGTTGGGGCGGCGCCGCAGGACTCATAGTGCGCGGAGGCGGCGGCGGAGGTGCAGAAGGTAAGGGGCTGCGACTGGGTGGCGCCGGCGGAGCAGACACCTTTCGCACTCCTTCGAATGGAGGTGGAACACCGAAGCGAGAGTGATTCTCTTCCATTGGCGTCTTTGGAGGCCGCGGGGGAGGAGGAGGGCCTGGGTTTGTGCTGGACATTGCTCGCTGACGACCAGGGGCCACGGATGCCGCTATGTGGGCAAATTTACCGGCATCCGCAATCGGTGGAGGGGCACGGAAGCGGTTCCTTGGGGGCGAAGGCTCGCGATTTGATGCAGGCGTGGCAGGTTCATCATCGACGTCAGTCCGAGTCCTGCGCGACGGAGGAGGGGGTGGCGGAGCGCCGCGCCTGCTGCCACCACTATTTCCAGTGTTCTGCGGACTGAGAGCTGCCACTTTCGGAGCTGGCGGTGCAGATGGGGGAGGCGGAGGGGGGGCCTTTCCTCGCCGCTGATCTTCAGCAAGAGATGAACTGGAGTCGGAACCAGCAGCGCCCTGTTTCTGCTCGATATAGGCCTTGATGAAATCGGAATTCTCCGCTATCTGGTCCTCCGTGATTCCCATCTGCAGAAGTTCATCTAGCAGTCCCTTCCATGCGGGGTCGCTAGTATCAAAAGGCAACTCCTTGCGTGGCGGGCTGGCGGCGGGCGGCGGGGGAGCGACCTGGATCGAAGGTGCAGGTGGCAATTCCGCAGGCGTGACCGTTTGAGCGTGAGACCCGGACGAAGAGCGATGCCCAAGCAAACTGCCGAACAACGATCGACCCACGCCATGTTTGCCATTGACGACTGGGGCTGGGCCCTGGCCACGAGTCGACGCAAAAGGTGTCAACCGTGTCTCTTTGCTCGCATGCTTCTCCCGCTCGTGGACCTTCTTGATGAAGGTCTTAGCCTCCTTTTCGTCGGCGAAAGAGAACCCGGCGGGGCAGTCTTCGAGTTCAAAGGTGTGGAAGAATGTGCGGTCCTGATTATATGCGAAATTATCGTAAATCTCTTGGTCCCATATAACTCCCCTTCCTGCAGGCTGCACCGTAGAGAGTTGGATGATCAGTAAAGAGATGATTATGTCTTGGATCAGGGATGCGCTTACCGATACATCCACCAACTTGAGCCAGAAGGTACGGCCGACTAGGTCATTCGCCAGCACTGCAGCACCTTGTAAACCAGTGTAAGTCCATCTTTGAGGATCCGGATATGCAACGTAAAGGCGCGCAACGGCTACAGCAAGGATTTTGTTCGCAGGCTTGGGGACAGTTCTCCGGACGATTTCCTTGTCGGCGTCGGTAAGTATAGAAGGCATGGCGATGTACCGGGAGTTTTAGACAAGTGAGTAAAGCGCGCGCAGAGTGGGAATGGCGATCAGAGCGAATGTATAGTGTCTTGCGGACGCATCGCAGGTGGTTTGGTGCGATTCTAAAGGCCCAATGGATCAGGAGGGTCGTTGATCCTCAGGCACGACTGTTGGCTGATAGGGCGCGGCAGTAACGGATGTCACAGGGAGTAGGGGGTAGCTTGGATTCCCTCGGGTTCTGGGGGCTGGGTGTAAAGTTAGCATGAATGGCGAAAAAAAGTAAGATATTCTGATACAGAATCATTAAGAAGGATGCGTATAGGGAGACACCGACCGCTGGTGTGAGAATCTGCCTTGAAGGTTGAATGACGGGGGCAAAGAGGTCAAGTAGCAAGTAGCAGGAAGAGAAACGTGAGGGGAGGGGGAGCCTGGGCGGAGAGAGAAAGAGAGAGGCTTAGGCGGGCGGCGGCACTAAAGAGGCGCGCGGTGGGGATTCCGGTGGGCTGGGCCTACGACGTACGAGTACGAGTAGTTACCTCTACTACTCTACACTGCATACGGAGTACTCTACTGACTAGTTGCAAAATGGCAATTATCCTTATGTCTTCTTCGCATACATGCTGTTTAAATGTCAGAATTTCTGGTTAAATCACTATCATCGCAACCGCTCCCATAGTCGGAAGTCCTTATTGTGTCCTTATCCCGGCCTAGACGTGATGTTGCCGCATTTGTCAAAGGCCATCTTAGGCAGAAATGACACAGTAAAGTAGAAGATAATAACTGCTAGAATTTGATGAACTTCGGTCTCTAGGCAGCTTCTTATTCCTGTAGTAGTACGTCTCAATCCTGAATTGGTCATGTCATGTGGCTGCGAGTGTGCTTACATTGTCAACTTATCAAGTCGAATTATCGAAGCCCAACCGACGTCATCGCGTTGCCTGCAACTATAGAAAAGCCCGTTTGTCTCTGGCCGCCTCTTTCGTTGCAACTGTTTAAGATCTCCCCAGAATCATCCGACTGTTCTCTATCCTCACTATACATCTATTCATCACTAAGTCAAGCTAAACACGTTACTCATCACGATGCCTGTCATCCCCGAGCCTGCTAGCTTCCCTACTGCCCACGGCAGTAACAACGATAGCCCTTCCAACTCCTCGGAGCAGAGAGACCCTGGCCAGGATACAAAGAAAGCCTCGATGCTCGATCACCTGTCAAAGGGCCCTCAGATCCCGGACAGTGAGTCTGGAGTTTTCTTACTGCTGAACAGTTCTCCTCATTGACCCTGCTTTCTTAGACATGCCACCTAAAGCAACAAAGGAAGAGATTGAGGCGCGTAAGAAGGAGCTGAATCAGTGAATGTGCCGGATATCTCAGATGGTCACCTACTTTCATACTTCCATTGTATTAATCATGAGAATTACGTACGCTGTTTGGTGAATGAATTACTTTTTGACGTTGCAATTGCGGGGGTATATCTACTTGGCGCGGACTGCAATATGATACCTGCATACCGGGGTGCTTCCTTTGCACCAGTCTGTGAAGCCCATGAGACCCATAGATAGACAAGTCTTTCCCATCATCTCGCTTCATAGAACTAGCACATCAACTTATTGCATGAGTATATCTCATCTGCCCTGCTTCTGCCTGCGACCCGTTGCAGGATTGTCCCAAATAGGCATCATTACATCATGATGCACGTGACCCCGCGTTCACTTTGCTCCTCACAGCGCGATGCGAGGCTGTCTTCTGTCGCGTCAAGAGTTTCCTCATGCCGCCTGAACGAGCCAATGTCCCGGTGAAGCTGTCCCTGCCTCTGGTAAGTGTTTTACTGTCTTGTACATCCGGCTCAACATGTCGAGAACTCGCTAACAGGGTAAAATTAGCAATACCAGCAGGACATCTTCACCGAACTGCGCGCGGAGGATGAATTGGTGGTTCTTGCTCGAGGCCTCGGCCTCCTCCGACTAGTGACTAATTTACTTCACTTCTACGATGCGGCCGGAAACAACCTTGTATTGGTCGTTGGTGCTGACGATCGAGAGAATGAGTGGATTGGAGAGGGTGCGCGGCCTGATTGCGGTCCCAAACTATGACGGCAGTCCTCGGAAAGTGGCTGACCACAGCTTGCAGCGCTTGCGGAACACTATGCAATCAGTAAAACGCCTCTAGCCAGGGGTCTTAAGGTGATCAACACTGATAGAGCTACGGTTTCGATGAGGTAGGTCACGGTCGCTCCACGCTCACCGTATTTCGTGCTAAACGTCGTACAGAGAGAAGCTATATGCCGCGGGTGGTATCCTGAGTGTGACCTCCAGAATACTAGTGGTGGACTTTCTGTCCAGTAAGTAAGACACGTTGTATGCTTGTAAGAGTGTTGATCTCTGATTGAACGCCTTCATTAGAGCTCCTCGACCCTTCGAAAGTGACGGGCATGGTTGTGCTCCATGCGGACAAGTAAGCCACTAACTACCGGAATGCATTCCGATACTGATGAGGTGTAGAATTCTTGCAACTTCCCTCGAAGCTTTTATCCTTCGTGTATATAGAGAAGCAAACAAGACCGGATTCCTCAAAGCGTTCTCGGACTCCCCCGAGCCGTTCACAACAGGGTTTGCTCCATTGGCCACCTCCATGCGGAATCTCTTTCTTCGCAAAGCATCGCTATGGCCGCGCTTTCATGTCACCGTTGCAGAGTCGTTGGAAGGCCATAGAAAAGCCGAGGTGATCGAGCTCGAGGTACCGATGAGTGACAAGATGCGGGACATACAAAATGCGGTCCTTGAGTGTGTGGAAATCTGCATCGGAGAGCTCAAGAAGGCGAATACAGGGCTTGATATCGCAGACTGGACTCTGGACAGTGCTTTGCATCGAAGCTTTGACATTGCCATTAGGCGCCAGCTTGACCCGATGTGGCATCGGGTGAGCTTCAGAACCAGGCAAATTGTCAGCGACTTGTCGGATCTGCGTTCTATTCTCCAGTATGTTCACTTCTTCGGTTCAGATGTCTGCTCCCACTGCAATGGCCGTGTCAATTATCCATTTCCAATCACTGACTGAACGTCAGTGCCCTGCTTACCTATGATGCCGTTTCGTTTCTCAAATTTCTCGACCTCATTGTGACCGCCCATACTCCGCCTCCCGGCTCTACAAGGCACAATTACTCCCCCTGGCTCTTCCTTGATGCAGCTGATGTGTTATTTCAAACGGCTAAGGCGAGAGTATACCAAGGCAAAATAAGTAGTGAGGTGGCTCGCTCATCATTGACTTCGTTTCCTACTACCCTGCAACCGGTTCTAGAAGAACAACCGAAGTGGGAGGTCCTGGCAGAAGTGCTTGAGGAGATTGAGACCGATGCATATTTGAACCCCTCGAATGTTGACGAATCAAACAGCACCGTGTTGATTATGTGCAGCGACCAGAGAACCTGCCGTCAGCTTCGTGAATATCTTGCAACGATGCATGCTCATGTCGGGAACAGGAAGCGGGAGAGCTCTGACCCCGGTAATGCTGTGGGTGAAAAGAAAGGCTCGGCTGAAGTTATGATGCGCCGAAGGCTACGAGAATACCTAGACTGGAAGGCCTCTTTATCCAAAGTCAGCAAGAATCTTTCCTCCAAACCACCCAACGAAGACTCCAATGGCGCAACGAGCACTCCTGCACCGGGGACTGTGAATCCCAGAGCACCCGCAAACAAACGACGTCGCGTTCGTGGTGGAGGTGCAGCAGCAGGCCCCGGACGAGCGCCCAACGCCGGCATTCAAGTGGAGATGGAACCTTCGGGCCAAGTCACGGCACTCTTAGATGAAATAAAGCCCACAGAAGTCGAGGAAACCCAGAAGGAAGAGATAGTTGTGGAGGACTTGGACGACATGGATGACTATTACGAACTATATGATATGAACGATTTGATTATGATACACCCTTACGATGGCGACATGGACGAGCACATCCTCGAGGAGGTTCGTCCACGGTACATCATCATGTACGAACCAGACCCTGCATTCATCCGACGAGTCGAGGTCTACCGGAGCTCTCATGTGGGCAGAAATGTGCGCGTGTATTTTGTCTACTATGGAGGTTCAGTGGAAGAGCAGCGGTACCTGAGTGCTGTACGACGGGAGAAGGACTCGTTCACGAAGCTGATCAAGGAGAAGGGCGTACGTATCTCCTGCACCTCTCAACACACCAGTTACTAACGAGATTTACAGAGTATGGCCGTGACTATCGTCCATGATAAAAGCCTAGAGGACCCCCAGGAGCAGTTCCTCCGGACCGTGAACACCCGCATTGCAGGAGGCGGCCGACTCGCCGCAACGGCCTCACCACCCCGGGTCGTGGTCGACGTCCGGGAGTTCCGAAGCGCGCTCCCGTCCCTCCTGCACGGAAACAACATGATCGTGATCCCCTGCCAGCTGACCGTTGGCGACTACATCCTGACGCCGGACATCTGCGTCGAGCGCAAGTCCATCCGCGATCTGATCACCTCCCTGCGCAACGGCCGCCTCTACAACCAGGCGGAGACGATGCTCCAGCACTACAAGAACCCCTTCCTGCTGATCGAGTTCGACCAGAATAAGTCCTTCACCTTCGACGCCTTCGCGTCCGCGACCACGCCCGGGACCTCCTTCATGGCGGACTTCGGCTTTTCGTCCTCCGGGACCAGCACCCTCTCCGCGAACAGCTCACTGGTCAACCCCTCCAGCCCCAAGTCGGCGCAGCATCTGCTCGTCCTCCTCACCCTGACCTTTCCCAAGCTGAGAATCATCTGGTCCTCCTCCCCCTACCAGACCGCCGAGATCTTCGCCGAGCTGAAGAAGAACAACCCGGAGCCGGACCCGATCCGCGCCGTGCAGATCGGCCTCGACGTGGATATCGCCTCGTCGTCCCACACGGCCGGGGACATCATGGCCGCGGCGGGCATCGAGCACCGGACCTTCAATCTCCTGCCTCAGGACATGCTCCGAGCCGTGCCCGGGGTGAGCCCCAATGTTCTCGAGCGGCTCATCCTGGAAACGGAGAACATCCACGAGGTTGCGAATATGAGCGTGGAGCAGCTGGATCCGCTCGTGGGGATCGAGGCTGCACGCAAGATCGTCGGTTTCTTCCGGAAGAGCGTGTTTGATGATTAGTTCAAGACGCCCGCAGTACCAGGATGTACATCATGAGTCTTTTGCATCAGCCGCATTTTGTGTAAATGAAGCGGTATGAAAGGGATAAATTACACGTCAAAGTCTACGTATAAGATGGAGTTTACTTTGATAGTAAATTTTAGAATTCGTAACCTTTTCATAACTCTATCATCCAGATTTCAAAAAGTGAAAAACAAAGGAGCGAATTTTGAAGAAGGTAAAACCAGGGAACAGAAAAAGAAAATCGTCAACACAAAGCCAGGCCGCACGCAGCCCGTCTTTTTTTGGGTACGTATTGCGACCCAATTCCTCCGTAGACAACCCGAAGGCGGCTCTCTTGATGGATCATGATCCGGCGAACCAAGAAGACCCAACCGAGATAACCCGCAGGTCTAACCCTGCCGATGATTCATACCCTATATTGCGAAAGGCCACACGCAAGATTGAGGCGAGCGCATGTAGCGAAGCGGGTGGAAGAAAGGCGCCGCTGCTGCCTTCATCCATCCTCCAGAGACCTTTCCGGGGAGAAAAGAGACGAATGGCGTAGGACAAGAAAAGGCCCAGGCCAACCGCCGCCAAGGTTTCACAGAGCCCCTCCGGCGCAAGCACATGCTTGCTCCCACGGGAATCCAAGAACCGCGGCGGATTTTCCTTCCCGGAAAAAAGGACGTTTGACGTGTCGAGAGTAATAGCATGAAGGACGTGTGGCGGGGAAGAGAGACAAGAGTAAATCCCAGGGGAGCTCTCCTCGCGCAGTGGGGGGAAATGAATGCATCGGAGACGAGAGAAGAAGGCGAGCTTAGAGCTCGTCGACATCGATCTCCTTCTCCTCCTCGCTCTCGCGGTCCTCGTCGAACTCGACGTTGTCCTCGAAGCCCTCGTGGCCGTAGGTGTCGGTCTCGTTGATCTTGGCGTGTTCGGGCAACTCGCCGTAGGCCTTGAGACTTCTGGCCTCGTCGGCGGTGTACTTCATGATGACGTCGCCCTTCTCGTCCTGGTAGTCACGCAGCGAGAGGAGGATGATGTCGCCCTGGTTGATCCAGACCTTCTTGCGGAGCTTGCCACGGATGTGTGCCAGACGCTTCTCGCCGTCGAAGCACAGCGCCTCCAGGCGGCCGTTACCGAGCATCTTCACGACCTGCGCGTACTCCTGGCCCTCCTCCTTGAAAACGAGCTCACGCTTCTCGTTGTCGTTCTCGTTCTTTCCACGACGACGGTTCTTACCGCCCTGTTAATAGTAAAAAAAACATGCGTTAGCAAAAGGGTCCTCAAGTGTAGCAGGGCTGTGAGAAGAATCCCGCATTGTAGTTTTTCACCAACGCCAGGCCTCGCCACCTAGAAACAACCACAGTACCCGGCTGACATACTCGGGCGCAGTGGGATACGGTGGTATGAGTCGTGGCGACCAACAAGCCTGGAAGCGAAAATCTGTGAAGCGGGGTTCATGGAGGGTTGATGTTCTCACCTTTCCCTTGTTCTTGGGCATGGTGCAATCTCGCTAACCGCGTTGGTCTTTCACTCGATGCGATAGCCGATGATCGGACACGAAAGGGGTGGGTTGTTGAGATGGACGTCCCTACGGACCAGCAGAGGGTTGAAAGTGGGGGTGGAAGACAGAAAGAGACAACGATGATTTCGACGCTTTTCAGGCTCTGCCGCCTCTTATGTAAGCACTAGTGGGGGGAGTGGCGTGGCAGCCTGATTGATGCCTTAGGATATCTGCCTCAGGTCCACCATTCACAAGCAGAAACCGTCGACCGCCCGGCAGAAATGGTAGAGTTGCGTTATCGATAGAGCCTGGAGGAAGAAAGTAATAACTCAGTAGCTTCAATAACTGTTAGTAACCTCTGACCCATGCAAACATGGATCTTGACAACTGATTACTCTCCGACACGCCTCCTCTGCTCTGTGGCATCTGTACCTGGCAGCGCTGTTATAATCACAACCAGCGTATACGAAACTGACGTACTAAAGCCATCAATTGTCGCTTTCAAGCTCGTCGCTTCCGAACTTCCATCTGCCTCAGCCATTCTACCGAAAGAGTGCTTTACTTGTTTTCTGGGCCAGAAAGTTGGACCCAATCCCGGCCTTTAGTGCTACCTCGGTGCTGACTGCCCTTTCTTCTGGGGATCCGCCTGCATTGTCCTATCCCACCCTCGTCAATAGGAACCGACTCTCTCGACAAAGGGCATTCACCTGAGAATCGATGGCCAAGCGCGTAGCGAGGCTCGGAGGGGCCATAGGGAACCTGCGCATCCAAACGGCACGGTACACACTTCGTTATCAAGTCGAACACGAGATGCCTTTCATCGCCGCTCAACAGTTAGCTTTGAACAACGCTATAAGAGTCAAACTTTCTCATCTATACCAAACTCGGCCTCGCGATACGCTATGGTACTCATTTGGCCTTAAAATGCTTTTAGATTACAAGAGTGTCGTTCGATCATGGGCGATGGGAAGGTCCAGAGTGGCGTTTCGCAAAGCTTTGGCGGAGCGTGGATACGATCAGGACGGCAGAGCGATCAGCTCTTTTCCAAGGGCCGCTACTGAGGAAACAAAGATTGCCGGCTTACGAGGATCGGTTGACTTTACCGTGCGGGAAGAGGTCGTCACAGCAAAGTCTTCGGACATTGAGAAGGATATGCGAGAGATTGTGGACAAAATAATCAGGGTGATGCTTCATGCTCCGAAAGCAGGGACTGGCAAGCTGAAGCAACGTGTCTTATGGGATAATAAGCAGCCTAAGCGTAAATGATATACAGTTTGAGACTGAATCAAGATGAGAATGGCACTTTTTTCTGTAATTAGATGGAGTGAAATAAACATCTTGCATGGATGGTATGAAACAGCGTGATGGCGGCTGAACGGTCTATTGACAACTTAGGTTTGGTTTGTTCCTAACCGGCCGATCTTCGAGAAACCAAACATAACACTCCATCTCTTCCTCCGACTTGACTTACGTACTACTCCTCTTCCTCATCTTTCTTGTCATCGCGCTGGCAAGACTGCCTGGACAGAGACTTGATTTCCTGTGCATTGAATACCCCTTGTGTTCCATCGTAAACCATTGGTTTTGCGCGCTATCTCTGGTCGCTCCGTCGGTACAGTCTACAGCTTGCGCTCCTCCACCCAATCCGCCATGTTGGTATCCTTGACTGTCGGGAAGGTCGACGCCGGAGTCGCCGTCCTCTTGACTCAAGACAACAGATTGGTAAGTCACTCTTCTACTGTTATTGGAATTGTGACGACTGTGTGATGACAGAAGCTCCTTTGCATCTCTCGAACAAACCCCTCACGTACCTACTCCATGCTAATTCGCCCATCACAATCCCCCCCAGATCGAATTCCCCTCCGTGCTCCTGCCTAACAACATCACATCCGGTAGCATCGTCGACATCACCGTCGCGCGCAACCACGCTGCCGAAACCGCCAGCGCAACTGCCTTCCAGACGCTGCAGAAACGCATTCTCAACACCTACGGCATCAAGACCCCCACGCCTCCGATCCTCCGCCTCCGCAACGCAACCCAGACCTCCCTCGTCCTCGAATGGGATCCCATCGACCTGGCCACCGCGTCGCTGAAATCCCTGTCCCTCTACCGCAATGGCTCCAAGGCCGGCTCGATCCCCCGCCCGCTCGAGACACGTAGCACCAAGATCAGCGGCCTGGCCATCCACACCGAGTACACCTTCCACCTGGTGCTGCGCACCACCGCGGGGACCTACCAGTCCGAGAAGCTCGTCTGCCGCACCCACAAGATGACCGATCTGTCCGGCATCACGGTCACGGCAGGCGTGCTGCACCCGCAGCAGAGGGATGCGCTCGCGGCCGCGCTCGACCGCATCGGCGGGAAGCTGATCGACACCGTCCGCATCGATACTACGCATTTTGTCTGCACGGAGGGCCGCGGGCCCCTCTGGGAGAAGGCGGTCGAGATGAACATCCCCGTAGTCGTGCCCGAGTGGGTCGATGCCTGTGAGGCCGAAGGCACCATCGTCAGCGTCCGCGGCTACTACCTGAACGCGGATCCCAAGGCCCGTCAGCTGGGGCCCATTCATGGCTCCACGCAGCATCAGCGCACGACGTCGACCGCGACGTCGCTCCTGACCGCCGCCACGGGTCAGCCCCAGACCAGCCAGAACCCGAATCCAACCCCGAGCCCGAACCAATCCCAGGACCAGAACCAGAACCAGTCGCCATCCCCTTCGCCATCGAACCTGGCCCCCTCGGGAGCCCTGCAGGTACAGCAGCAGCTCGATGACCCACCGCTTACCCCTTTCCCCGGAGCCGAAATGACAGGTCAACCGACAGCGGAAGAGAGGGAGGTCTCGTCCGACGAAGGTCGACTGTCCCCACCACCGCCGGTACCCCCCAAAGACGACGAGGAGGAAGCGAGAGGGGACGAGCACGCTGAGGACGAGCCACCCGCTCAAGAGGAGCACGATACGGCGGAGGTAGCGACGCCCGCAGACGCTAAAGCCGGCGATAGCGATCATGACGAACAGACAAGCACAGCAGATGACCAATCCGACCGCCACATAGAGGAGGACAAGGGCAAACCATCAGGAGACGATGAGGATAAGGAGCGCCATTCCAAGGAAGGTGAAGGTGATTTCAATGAAGTTCCATTATAGTGTTGTCGCTGCTGCTGTTCATTGAGCCATATTTTCCGGCTATTTCTTTTCTTTTGTGATCTTCATCTTTTTTTCTTCTTTTACTTCTTACCCATTACTGCGACGATTTTCAAATGGACCTTACTTTGTAGCGCCTATGAATGTATGGCCGATAGAGAAAAAAAACAATCAATCAACCGGCTCTAGATTCCCCAAGCCATGCCCCATTACCATGAGCGTTTCTATCTTGCCGAATGTATAGTATTATCCCACCATTTGTGGTTGAATTTGTTTGTGGCGTCTTCCTAGTTCGGTGTTTGTTGATGTTTCTCTCGAGTTGGCGCCGTTTCCGCCCAACCTTGAGTTTGGTAAAGTACAATATGCGGCAGTGCATTGTGGATTCAAACCTAGAAGTTAATGTTCCTTTTTTGTACAACCAGATTTCTTCTTTCATTTCTATCCTTTTGACGTGATTGATGCAGGCACCCCACGTGGAGGGTACCAATTCGACACGTAGATCTATCATCGTGTAAGCTACTGCAGTGTTTGTTGTTTGTGTTGTTGTCAGTGCGCATGATATATTTATAGCATAGTTGCCCGCGGGCGTGGCCCTTGCCCTTGGAGATTTGTTTCCAACCACCATCTACATTTCATTCCCACCATCTCTAATTGTTTTTGTTTGTTCATCTTATATACGTTTATCATCCCAAGGTTCCTAGTTGACTGTACGGACAATATCGTCGATAGCCTGCGCTACATAGGCAACGTTGCCTTGGCTCACTGCGATGAATCATTAGTCAAGGCTGCTACGACCCGAGAAAAAGGGCGGGATCAACTTACAGCCACTGATGGAGGCTCTGCCGGACTTGAGGAGGTAGATGTGGTACTTCTCCTTGAGGGCCTCGACCTGAGTCGGGGTGAGACCGGTATAGGAGAACATGCCGTTCTGCAAGCGGGGTTAGCATTGATGGGTTGTTTGATCTGAGGGGAGAGAGTCTGGTAGGTTGTGCAGCAACTGACCTGCTCGACGATGTGCTTCCACGTTCCGGGGGTCTCCAATCGCACGAGCTCGTTGAACAGGGCCTGGCGCATGGACTTGATGCGCGAGCTCATGACCTTGAGATCGTCGTGCCACTGGGCGGTCAGCTCGTCGTTGGTGAGGACCTTCTTGACGATGGTGCAGCCGCCGACGGGGCCCATGGAGAACTCGCCGCGGATGAGGTGGCAGAGGTTGTTGACGACGAGGTCGCGGAGGTGCTGGCTTCCCTGGGGCAGCACGTAGTGGAAGGCGCCGACGCGCTGGCCGTACAGGCCGAAGTTCTTGGAGAAGCTCTGGGCGACGCACATCTCGAGGTGCGGCTTCTCGTTGAGGAAGTAGCGCACGGCCCAGGCGTCCTCGTCGGCGGAGCCCGACGCGAACCCCTGGTAGGCCGAGTCGAAGAAGGGGAAGATCTGCTTGCGCTCGCACAGGTCGGCGATCGCCTTCCACTGCTCCCGGTTGGGGTCCAGGCCCGTGGGGTTGTGGGCGCAGGCGTGCAGCAGGATGACGTCGCCGGCCTGGGCGCTCGCCTCGAGCGTCGCCATCATGCCCTCGAAGTCGAAGGCGCGCGTGTCCGCCTTGTAGTAGGGGTAGGTGCGCCGCGGCACCCCGGCCAGCTCCCAGATGGTCAGGTGGTTGGCCCACGACGGGTCCGACAGCCACACCGTCCGCGGCTTCATCTTGTGCGCCAGGAACAGCGCCCCCAGGTGGTTGGCGCCCGTGCCGGCCACCGCCTGCACCGACCCGATGCGCCCCTTCTGCGCCGTCTGCTGCTCCGTCGCCTGCTTCGCGTCGAACCCGAACATCAGGTCCCGCGCCAGCTCCAGGAACGGAATGTCCCCCTCAATCGCCGTGTACTCGTGCCGGAACAGGTTGTCCTCCGCCAGCAGCTGCTGCTCCGCCTGCCGCACTACTGGCAGCGGCCACGGCTTGCCATCGTCGGTGCGGTACACGCCAACCCCCAGGCTGACCTTCTGCGGGAAGGTGTCGTTGTTGTAGGCGCGGTTCAGGGCGAAGATCTCGTCCGCCGGCAACGGATGCAAGTCGAGGACGGTCATGGTGGGTGATGAGGGATTATGGGGGGTAAGTTGAGGGTACCTTCGATTGTTGTCAGCGAGGCAGGCTCGATGAAGTGTATCAGGTTCCGGGGTAAGTTCTTCTGCACCTACCTTAGAGCTTAAAGAGGGGGGGGGTTCCGAGGGGCAGTGGGTTAGAATTTAAGGATTGCCGGTGGGTGGAGCAGTGGGATTTTTAGTTGGATCGGAATGGGGACACGGGTGACGAACAGGTTTACAAGAGGCTAGCAGCACGCCCTTAACAGCACAGTATCAGATCTTGCTGGTACTGAATGGAGACTCGAAATGGAGAGCAACATACGAGATACTCAATGCAGCAAGAGAAAGACGGTGGACCAAATGCATGAGTCAATATTCAGTTGGGCATGGCATGCAGGATTGGCCGATATCGCCCTCGTGGATCCCCAGCCAAATACCCGCCGGTTCGGTTCTTCTAGGCATGGCTATTCCCTTTTTCTTTTTCTTTTTCTGCTTTCGCCGCTGACGAGAATCGACAGACGGGAAAGCCCGCTTAGTGAAGGGTCTCCTGGGAAAACGTGGTTCATCGCAGGAAGAGGCCATTGTGACCCGTGTGACTGCAACAGCCCGTGCCATTGATATCACTACTCGTTGTTGGTGTCGTCCAGTTGATGAGTCGGTTGCTGGGCGGTGACGAGAATGACAGGAATGGATCATGTGGCTGGCCACATTGCTTTGAGCAGCAGTGCATGGACTGCACAGAACCGGACTTGTACAGTTGTTACAGTTCAATTGTCTGCGTAAGAGGGAGGGTTGAGATAGCGCATCCCCAATTGGAGTTCGAATCTGGATATGTCGAATCGAGCTCATGGTGAGGTTCAAGTCGGATAAGGGCGGACAAAATGCCGGTCATCTGCTCGGAGCCCCCGGTTGTAGCCGAGCTGGAACTATAGAATAGGTTTCAACGCGACACACTCCTCGCTTGTCAGGATTATGACGCCTTGGGACTACCAGCGAGTTCTTATCTTGCCAATGAAGCATATGTGTTATCCCGATAGGAAGCAAGCCTGCGAAGTACAGTACTGTACATAGTAGTTCTGTGCAATGCTTGATCGGGGTAACCCCAATCGACTCGGTCGCTACTTGATAACGATGATGAGGGGCTGTGAGGGGAAGTCTTCACACCCGGCCAACTTGGCCTAGGGGAAACGACCATCTTACATTCGACTCCTTTGGAATAATTCTGTCACATCTAACCCTACTGCTTACTTCTATCGACCAACCAACATGGCTTCACTGAATGACGAAAAGCTCTTACTTGGCATCCGCCCGAAGGTGTTAACCCAACCACTACACAACAGCATCCCTCCGGAGCTGCTGTCGCGATTTGACCCGATCTTTGTTGAGAACCATAACAAATATAACGCGGGAAGGCTTCATACCCATGAGGTACCCATTGAGGAGTTCCGTCGCAATCCAGCCAAATATGCCATCAGCTATGGCCGTGCGAGCGGTCCAAACATCTACCGCATCTCTGAACAGAAATGCCCCGTCCAAGGGGGAGAGATAAGAGTACGCATCTTCGAACCTGAACCCGTGGTCGACGAGCATGGTAAGGTCCAGAAGAGGGCGGCTTATATCAATTTTCACGGCGGCGGATGGGTGTTCGGTGACCTATCGAAGGATCACGACTTCTGTAAGAGAGTCGTCGACGGGCTGGAAGGGCAGCTGGTGGCCTTTGATGTCGACTACAGACTAGCCCCAGAGCATCAATACCCAGCACCGGTGGATGATTGCTGGACAGCGATCAACTGGGTCAGCAGCAGCTTCTTCTTCCCATTGTAATGATCTGACCGCAAAACTAACTACCAAGACAGGTCCGGTCAAAGGCCGAGGAGTTCAATATCGACCTCGATCGAATGGCGGTCGGAGGCATGTCAGCAGGTGGACATTTGGCAGCCGTCATGGCTCATCTCTGCCGTGACGCCGGCATTCCCTTGCGACTGCAGGTGCTGAATGTACCGGTGTGCGATCTACACAGTCCGTTCAAGCCGGATAGCACGTTCGATCGGGATGGCTGTCCATACGAGTCGTACAAAGAGATGGAGTTTACGGTGCCCCTGCCAGTCGCGCGCATGTCCTACTTTCACAGACATTTCCTAGGGGTCCCAAGGCCAGCAACATCAGATGAGGTGAGCTACTGTTACAGTGGACCGAGCCAACTATGTGCACTTTGCATGATGCTGACATGGTTTTCAGGACTGGAAGATATCCCCCATTTTAGCTCCCAATTTTGCTGGGCTGGCGCCTGCATTGGTCTTCACTGCTGAAATGGATCCTCTGCGGGATGAAGGTGAAGTTTATGCTGCCAAGCTGAAAGCTGCAGGATGTTCGGTGGAGTTGATGCAGATGAAGGGTGCACCCCATACCTTCGCTCTGCTAGACGGGATACTAGAATCGGGGCGGGTGTATAATGAGAAAGTGATTGAAGGACTGAAGGCGGTCGTCGCGATCAACTAGGAGTGCTGCTGCTGCTGCTGCTGCTGCGTCATGCATATTCGGTAGAATGGATGGCGGTGTAGGAGAAATGCGGAGAGAATCTGAGGATCATGGTTTATCCGGGTGGTCTTATTTCCATACATTACATCGTACTTCAGCATCACGCACCAAGAACCGGGCCCAAAACAAACTGCCGCCTGTAATGACGGTACCGGGCCGGGAGAGCTCGGCAGGCGGTATCGGAAAAGAATGGCCATTCATTAAGACCTCGTTTTACCCTCTTCTTCTTCCCCTTCTTTTTTCTGTGGCCGTCCATCCCCTTGATTTTTGGGTATTCTTGAGCGTGTATACTTAGACTTGCAGTTCCATCCTTATCGCATTCTTATTCAAGTATGATGACCGCCTCACCGCCCCGCACAAGAGCTGCAATGGCTGGCTGGCTTGCTCCCCTTGCAATTGCAATTGGCTGCTCCGATCAACTCTAACTTGGAATGACCAGCAGATCAAAAGCCGAACCCCGTCATGTTGACCTCCTCCAACACTTCGCGGGCCGCGGTGCGCTCGATGGCCAGCCTGACACGCGCTGTCTCCTCCAGCTCCCCCGCAGCTGCCGCGGCTTTTGCTGCCCGCTCCCCCGCTGCTCTCAGTAGCCGACGCCTCTTGGCTTCCAATAGCCGGGTCATGCAACAGTTCCCCCGCCTTCAGTCCTTGAACTCTACCTCCTCCAAGCGCGCCTTTGGTACCACCGTCAGAATGGTGAGTTTTCCTACCCCAGCTACCAACCGATCGCGATAAGTAAAAGCGATGGCGCCTGGCTGCACATCGCTTTACTCATCTCGGACTTTCCAACTTTCACAACAGTTGGACCCCATGCACGAACGTGTAGTGCTGACCGACCGTGGCTCTCCAGTCTTCTGCCACTCGTATCGAAACCGATGCCTTCGGTGAAATCCAGGTATGCGATCCCCCTCATTCCCATACGATGCGCCTTTGATGATGATGAGGTCTGATTGTGTTCTGCTCTAGGTCCCCGCGGACAAGTACTGGGGTGCCCAGACCCAGCGGTAAGAGCTCTGTCTATTGCTCTCATCTTCACGAAGACCGGGAAATGGAAACGGGGAATAGTACAAAGACTGACGGGGGAACAGTTCTCTGGGTAACTTCGACATCAACCAGCCCCAGGACCGTATGCCCGAGGCTGTTGTCAAGGCTTTCGGTGTCCTGAAGGGTGCTGCTGCCACCGTCAACATGAAGTTCGGCCTTGGTAAGCTACCATTCTTTGAAAAATACCTACACGGGCGCATCGCTGACATGCGCAACAGACCCCAAGATCGGTGAGGCCATCAAGCAGGCCGCCGCTGAGGTTGCTGAGGGCAAGCTGAACGACCACTTCCCTCTCGTCGTCTGGCAGACTGGTTCCGGTACCCAGTCCAACATGAACTCCAACGAGGTCATCTCGAACCGTGCCATTGAGATCCTGGGTGGTGAGAAGGGCAGCAAGAAGCCCGTCCACCCCAACGACCACGTGAACATGTCTGCCTCCTCCAACGATTCCTTCCCCACCGCCATGCACATCGCTGCCGTCGTGGAGCTTGAGAACACCCTGCTCCCTGCCCTGCAGAGCCTCCGCGATGCTCTCCAGGTCAAGGTCGAGAAGTTCGACAAGATCATCAAGATCGGTCGTACCCACTTGCAGGATGCCACCCCTCTTACTCTCGGCCAGGAGTTCTCTGGCTACGTTGCGCAGCTCGACCGCAACATCGAGCGTGTTCAGGCCTCAATCCCCCACCTCCGCTACCTTGCCCAGGGTGGTACTGCCGTCGGAACCGGTCTGAACACCTTCAAGGGCTTCGATGAGGCCATCGCCGCCGAGGTTACCAAGATGACCGGCACCCAGTTCTACACTGCCCCCAACAAGTTCGAGGTCCTTGCCGCCCACGACTCCGTCGTTGAGGCCTCTGGTTCCTTGAACACCCTGGCTGGCTCTCTCTTCAAGATCGCCCAGGACATCCGTTACCTCGGATCCGGTCCCCGTTGCGGTCTGGGTGAGCTGTCTCTTCCCGAGAACGAGCCCGGCTCTTCCATCATGCCTGGCAAGGTCAACCCCACCCAGTGCGAGTCCCTCACCATGGTCTGCGCTCAGGTCATGGGTAACCACGTCGCTGCCACTATTGGTGGCATGAACGGTCAGTTCGAGCTCAACGTCTTCAAGCCCGTTATGATCCGCAACCTGCTCCACAGCGTGCGCATCCTTGCGGACGGTATGAAGAGCTTCGAGAAGAACCTGGTGCACGGTCTCGAGGCCAACGAGCCCAGAATCAACGCTCTCCTCCACGAGAGGTAAGTGACAAGCGAAAATATTTGCTGTTTTATCGATCGTTCGCTAACCCCAACTTCTAGTCTGATGCTCGTTACCTGCCTGAACCCCGTTATTGGTTACGACATGGCCTCCAAGGTCGCCAAGAACGCTCACAAGAAGGGTCTCACCCTCAAGCAGAGTGCCATGGAGCTCAAGGCTCTGAGCGAGGAGGACTTCGACAAGTACGTCCGTCCCGAGCTGATGCTGAGCCCCAAGGAGAAGAAATAGATGCATAGACGGCGCGTTGGATGACTAGGAATGAGGGGATTTGGTCTTTTTGAATAGTTTGGAGGGACGCGATCTAGCGGAGTCCAGACTTTGCTCTTTTTTTCATATCAAATTTATGTACACCCAGGAAATTTCATTGTATTATTTATTTTTTTTTTCATCGACTGTGAATCTATGAGGAAAGTTTGAGTAGGACTAAGTGGGATGAATCCCGATCTTGCGGTAATTTGGTCGGATCGCATTCGCCGCCAACTGCTACTATTTTTGGAATGCCCCAGGGGTGACCGGGGCAGATTGCGAAAACTGCCCTGCAGCAACATCCTTTTCTTGCGGAGAGGCACGGAGAGGCAAACAGCTAACGAGTAAAAATGTCATATCAGGGCCGCATGCTTTGTCGGAAAGGGAGTTGAAAGCGAATGGGTCTAGGTGGGAGTAGTCAGTGGCGGACAGAATGACAATAATTCAATGAAGATCAATAAATGGGGTGTTTCAGGCAGCCCATCGCTGTGCTTGCGGCCATCTTTAATACGAGTGGCTTCCGCCGCGCGCCGTGATCTGTCCCCTCTTCACTTTTATTTTTTTGCAGAATCCCATCAACTCTGTACAATTGAACCGTCTGTCCCTCTTTTCAGACCTCTGTGTATATTTCCCACGCGCTGGTCCCCTTTCCCTTGCACATTCCGCCCCTCAGGAGTTTCATTCCCCTTGTTCCTGACCACGAACCCCGCTACTTCTCAAAAGAGAGGCACATATCCACCCACCACCATTCCCCAGCAGTCTGAACAGCAACAACATCCGTTTTTCTGGTCAAAACCCACACCCCAACCGAACCGCGAGCACCATCCCAATTTCCCACAAAACCAGCAAAAATGACGAACCTCACCACCAACAACAACTCCACCGCTGCTCCCCAGCACGCCCCGGCCGCCGCCGCCGCCGTCGTCAAGCCCACCACTAACGAAAACGACAACGAAAACGACCCCCTCCTCTTCCCCACGACCCTCGTCTCCCCGGACGTCACCGCCGCCCTCCCCGAAACCTACACGATCCGGCCCCTGCGTCGCTCCGACTACCAGCGCGGCTACCTGGACGTGCTGCGCGTGCTGACGACCGTCGGCGACATCACCGCGGCGCAGTGGGACGCCCGCTACGACTGGATCGCCGCCCGCAACGACGAGTACTACCTGCTGGTCATCTGCGACGGGGCCGGCCGCGTCGTCGGCACGGGCAGCCTGCTCGTCGAGCGCAAGTTCATCCACGCCCTCGGCATGGTCGGCCACATCGAGGACATCGCCGTCGACAAGGACCAGCAGGGCAAGAAGCTGGGGCTGCGCCTCATCCAGGCGCTGGACTTTGTGGCGGAGAAGGTCGGCTGCTATAAGGTTGGTTTCGTCCCTGTCCCTCCTTTCTATACACAGATGGGGGGCGTTGGTTGGGGCTGAGTGCTTTGGCTAATTTCTGTGTGTGTACTGGGTAGACGATCCTGGATTGCTCCGAGTCGAATGAGGGGTTTTATCTTAAGTGTGGGTTTAAGCGGGCGGGGTTGGAGATGGCGCATTATTATTAGAGGGATTGGGGGTTGATTTTTTTTGCTGTTCTTGGGGGGCGTTTCGTATAGATTTGCGAGGTATTACCTGGGTCCTTTTGGGGGTTGGGGGTGTGGGATTGGGCTCGGTGGCCGATACATAATTTTATCTGGGGTGTTGCATGCGGGGAAACTAGAGTATGGGTTTCATCGTGCTGGAGGTCCCGTTATGGATATATGAGGGCAGGGACTAGGTGGTAGGTGCAGTGATGTGGGGTGGTTTCTGTTTCGGGGGTCATGTGCTATACAACTTATGACTTATAAGTGGACTAGAGGAGGCCAAGGCTCATCATATATTGGCGAAATCCTGGGTTCAGTGAGTGAGTGTTGATGCGGTGGTATGAGGATCCTGGTAGGACAAGTAAGGGTTATGCCGGTAGGATTCGGGTGTGTAGGACACACTACTGTCAGGGACCATGTTGGGAGTGCCTGAGGCGGGATGTCATGTAGTTGATATTCTATCTCCGAAGTATCGGAGAATAGAGGGTGAAATACTATCGTTGCAGGACGGACAATGTAGAGTCCGACTTGGATTCAGATCCTCGGGGAGATCATGTAGTAATTGATGTCCCATCACAGGACTATGGAGGACAGACGACCGTCGAAGTACATGGGCAATCGCAATCTGGTTGCAGGAAGGTCAGAACGTGGCGATGTCAAGTACGACTTAGCTCCAGTATATCATGGAGTCAGGGAGTGGGAATCTACAAGCTCGAAGACTCAACAAACGAAAACGAAAACGAAAACAAAATCGAACCAATGCCATCATATCACATCCATTTTCCATTTTTATGGTTTTATAAAAAGTACCATGGCGCAACATGATAGAGAGAGAACCACCCTATCTGGAAGAGCCAAGGGGGTATATTTTAACCGGGACTCTCTCCCCCCGGACTCTTTCGACCGGAGAAGAAAACGTTTCTTGTTGCCTTTTTTCGCTCATGGGCCGGAAAGTTCGCATTTTGGTTTCAATAGAAAATTTGTTGATTGAAGGAAAACGTAAAATTCCAGCTCCGGAAAAACCTCCCAAGATTTCATGATATCCCTTGTGCTCCCCCAGTTTAACAACCCAAGCCAAACCGCTTCTTCTTTTTCAAGTCACGTTTTTATTTAGGAAATTTAACGGGACTTGGCGGCGACCTTGGGGGCGGAACCCTTGGCACCCTGCTTGCTCTGGATGCGCTGGGTACCCTTGCCGGCGGCGGCGTTCTTGGCCTTCTCGGCCTTCTTGCGGGCCTCGGAGGCAGCCTTCTTCTCCTTGGCGTCCTTGATGGCCTGCTGGCGGGCGGCGGCACGGGCCTCGGGGCGCTGGGCGCGGCGCTCCTTGATCACGTCGAGGGAGGCACCGACGATGGCACGCTGGTGCTTGACGGCACGGCGGGTACGCTTCTTGGCAACTTCCTGTATTCACGGCAAAAGATGTCCCGTCAGCAAACTTCGTTCCACCCACGATATATCAAACCATGGTCTCCTGTGTCTCTCGGGTCGTGAGCTCTCCTGCCTGATGGGAACGTTGATGGAGCCCCTTCCTTCTTTCCGTCATTGGTGTATGGAAGTGTCGCGTAAAGCGGAATTGGTGATGGACGAGTCGACTTGAATAGTTGATCCAAATTCCCTATCCAAACTTTGATCGTTGCTCGAAACTGTTGTTCCCGACATGTTCTACCTCCCCTTCCGATCCACGCATCCCCACAGACAGGAAAGAGACGACCCAAGAGGACACAGAAACCGTCGTCTCACGCGCGAAATGCAGAGGATATGGCGGTGGTTACTGACTTCAGAGATACCCTTCTTGTGCTGGCGACGGTAGAGGACAGTCCAGGCGATACGGCGAGGGTTCTTGCGCTGGAGGAAGAGGGACTCGGACTTTCCATTCTGGAAGCGGAAGATCTTGCTGTCGCCACGGACGTACAGCTTACCCTGTTACAACCGAAGAAAAAAAGTCAACAATCTTGGCCTCTTCTCATCATGTTGGCGATCTTGGGATATTTTTTTGATGATTTCGTCACGGGGTTGCCGGATATAACATCATTCTTTCATGTCGGGGCTGGGGGCGAAAAACGCACCTTTCCAGGGTAGATCTTCTGGCCGGAGAAAGAATCGTCGTAGGTACGCATCTTGATCGTCTGAGATGCGCAGCCGGTCTGTTGTCGGTTGGCGTTGGGTGGTTGAGTCGAAGCGGTCTCTGCGGCGAGACTGTTCGGGCGAGACTGACACAATTGTGGTGGTGCGGTGCGGGAGCCTCGCTAAACCCTACCACGTGACCAACTCCTGCCCTTGGCTGCCCGCCTGCCCGCCTGCCCGCCTACCCGCCTTCCCGCCGACAGGCCCTCTTGGTATAGTTCACTTGGTATTGTATGGGGGACTGGCGTGGGGGAGCAACTTAGTAACGGGTTGATGGATTAATTATGTTCACTTCTTCGAAGGTTGCACACCTTGATTCGTTCTTGCTCAGATTCATCAATTTCATTATGATTAATATGGGTTTTGTGTCTGAGACTATGTGACAGAAATATGAAAACAAATCCCGCCTCTGAAGAGCGTCATCGTACACACCAGGATCGTATCATCAGAGCGATACATGGCTTCTCCAAGTCACATACAGCAAGGGTTCATCTAACAGGACCGAATTTCAAAATGATGCAGGCTCACTTGTCTATCCATTCCCGTCTGTTTCACTCTTATCCATTCGTAACCGGAACGCCATGATCACGATACATCAAGCAACATGCCCGATCGATAGCATCAGGTCGCAGTATCAGTTTCCCATTCGAGATGGTACCAAAGTCGCTGGCCTTCCGCCAAAGCACAAAACAGTTGCGCCTATTCATGACGCATGCCAGTCACAGGGGCCCCAAGGGTTGGGCTTGCAGTCCTAGATACGACAAAAGTAATTAGCATGTTTCTCACCTAGCATCAATCCTCTCTTCGCCAGCTGAGAGAACCATGTCCCACCTACCTTGCACTGGATGTCGCGACACATCGGAGTGGAGCAGATACCGCAGCAGTCGGAGCAGACATAACGTCCGCATCCACCGGGCTCGGTGCACACCGTGTAGGTCGAGTGATCTCTGGTCAAGTTCCCATAACGGTCTAGAAGGGCGGTGACCATGAAGCAGCGGCGCGACTTCAACCAATTTCGATCCGCGATGGGCTGGTCCATGTATCGATCGCAACCCCAGCGGACGCAGCAGGGCTTCCCGCAGATAGGGCAGGGCCCGTGGCACTCGATGCACCACAGAATCTTACAGTCCCAGGAGCGGCTGTCATCGGGTCTAGCGGGTTCTCCAGGCGCGGCGCCCTTAAGAAGAGTGCCGGTGAAGCCGCGCACCCAGAGAGTCTATTCCTTGTGTTAGTTGCGGATAGGTTGGGCAATTCGGAGCTGGAGTAGGTAGGTCTCTTACTGGATCCTTGTAAGGCTTGCGTGCCACGGGTGGGGTCGCTTCGGGCTCTTTGGCGTCACCCTCAACGCTGTCGCATTTGTCTTCACCTTTGGCGTCTCCTTTGTCTTTGCCTTTGTCGTCGTCCTTGTCGTCGCCTTTGTCGTCGGCTTTGCTCCGGTTCTCGCTGTGTACGGAAGCGGCAGCACTGCTTCCAGGAAGATTCACGGAAGAGTGGCCGGCGGACTGAGGCTCCTCTAGATCCTTCTCCTCGCGCAAAAGAGGAGTCGATGAATTTGGAGAGAGAGAGACAATGGTGAAGCTCAAGCGTGACCCTTCAGGCTGGTCAGCGGACTGAGTCCTCTCGGCGGGCTCCTTGCGCAAAAGGGGAGTCGATGAGTCGGGAGTAAGAGTGCCAGCGGTGAAGCTCAAGCGTGACCCTTCAGAATGCTCGTCGGAAACAATGTTCCAGGAATCAAGACCGAGAGAGGCTGTAGAGGAGCTCAAGCGTGCGCCTTGAGACTTTTCGCCGGGCACAATGATCGAAGCACCGAAACCGAGAGAGGCCTTGGAATCGCTCAAGCGTGACTCTTTAGACTCCTCGTCTGAAACAATGTTCCAGGAATCATGACCGACAGAGGCAGTGGAGGAGCTCAAACGTGCCCCTTCAGACTTATCGCCGGGCACAGTGATTGAAGCACCGAAACCGAGAGAGGCCTTGGAACCGCTCAAGCGCGACTCTTTGGACTGCTTGCCGGACGCAGTGTTCGAAGCACCAAGTTTGGGAGAGGCCTTGGGGCTGCTCAAGCGCGACTCTTTAGACTGCTCGCCAGACGCAGTGTTCGAGGCACTAGGGTTAGGAGTGGCCATGAGGGTGCTCAAGCACGACTCTTTAGACTGCTCGCCAGACTCAAGGTTCAAGGCAGCAAGATTGGGAGGGGCCATGGAACTGTTCAGGCGTAACTGGTTAGACTGCTCGCCGCTCCTGATGTTCGAGGCACCAAGACCGAGCGAGGCCATGGAATCACCCAAGAGAGACGCTTCATCCCTTACGCTCAGGACGACTTCTTTCTCTTTGAGTGAGACAAGCTGCTCTTCAGTCTCCTCGATAATAGTGCAACGATCCCAGAAGTCCAGGCGCATGTAGACAGGGACATCGTCATCGCCAATATCTACTCACAAGGTCAATTCGTCTCACCCAGCTATCACCTGGCATGGTGTTGCGTATTTGTTTACAAACAACACAAGGAGCACAAGCAACGAGAGGGGACACTTACCACCAGATGTATCACCGAAGCTCGCAGAGCTCTGAGTTCCGATACTAGCGGCCAGGCTGTCGGTGCTCTGGTTGCCCAGGGCGTTGACCAAGACCGCGGACTCCAGAGACATGTTGCTTTCATTCTTGTTAGACATAACCTTCTCCTTCTTGCTGCCATCGTTAGGCTTTCCATGCTTCTTGGAGATAGACTTGTCGTCGCTGGCAATCTTAGAGTCACCGGTTTCTGTTTGCAAAGTCCAAGCATGAGCTACCGCTAGACGAGCTACAACACAGGCAAGAAGACAACAACTTACTCTCCTTGGTCATCGAAACCACAGACCACTCAGAGACAGACTTTTGGTCGCTCTCCTTCTCAGCGGCGGGGCCTTCTTTGTTGAGCTCCATCTTGTAGTCAGTAGGTCCAGCCTGGGTGACGGATTGGTTGAAGGAGTGTAGGTTCTCGTAGTACGCCAACGCAGGATGCTCGTACTGGTCCTCGACGAGAGGGGGGCGGTCGAGCTCTTTCTCTGGACGACGTAGTCTGCGCTGGTAATCCTCCAGCGTGGGAAACAGGTGATCCAGGTCTTCAATAGTCACTGCACGCGGGGCTGCGCGCGGGGCCTGAGTGCTTTGGTTGACTGTTACCACCGACTCACTGAAACGATGTCATTTGATGAAGGGGGTCGTTTACCTGGTCCTCCTTGAGGCGTCCCTGTCCCTTCCACACAGTCTCGACAACTTGAAGACCGCGGTTCCTGGGATGAAAGGGTTGAGAACTTGTTTGATGGTTGGAATCATGATAGCTGGGTGATGCGTGTTGCAAGTCACATTGGGGGCGATGAGGCAGTTGACAGTATCAAGAGATAGCAACTGTTGATATTAATGTTAAGGCTACTAACACTACGAGGTCCCGTGACCTTATACATGGTTGCGCTAGGAACTGAAACGAGAAGATCGATGCTGGAGTGAATTGGTTATAATCTGGCTTTAGGCTGACTGCCTGTAGTGAAGTGTTATGATTGGTTCGTGTTATGTTCTCTATAGGCAACTATATGCAAGCCAGGCACAGTGAATATGAATAACCAATATCAGCTTGATAAAGTAGAACTTTGGAGAAAGTGTGAGGCTGGTTGTTTGTCGATGCAGCTATCCTCCTGCAGCTATATAGGCTAGTACTGTACATATCTTTCCTCTTCACTGCTGCACTAGACCCACCATCATGAATAACCCACCAACTCTCAGCTCATATAGTTAAGCCCATAGCAGAAGCTTTCTCAGTCTACATCTCAGCTTCCTGGCATACAGGTCGCGAGGTAAAACTATTCCCTCACTTAATATGAGCTGACACAAAAGCAAGTTTGGAGATCATATGTACATTGCTATCTATCCATGCGCAAGCGCCCCACCAGGGCGACTATGGCTAAGCGGAACTAACTACATTCTCGAAGAGAGCAACAAAAAAAAGAGAAAACCACAGGACCAGCACCAAGATTTCCCAGATATGAGGAACAGCCTTTGCTGCCATCTACACGAGTGAATGAATGTAGAATCCAAAGGTGCAGAGCTGTCATCCCTCAAGTGCAATGCCGGCTTGTCCCTCTCTCCCTGCAGAGCCGCAAGTGAAGTAGCTGTAAAGACTGACGCGGGAAGAATACTGGAGGGGATCTTAAGGAAAAAAGAACGAGAGGCACTTTTCTTCTCTGTTGTTTCTTCTTTGAGGTCTCATGGGTCACGTCACAGACGTTTTGTTGTGCCTACCGGGTTCGTGTCAATGGCAGGCAACCTGGGGAAGAGGCTACCACCGAAGCTTCTTTTCTTTCTCTCTTCTCCCCCGTCCCCAAGAGTTGAACGGCATACATCTAAGTCATGGCGTGGGTTCTAGTCCACTCTTTCGCGGTCTGTATGGCAGCCGGCTCATCCTCCTTCCAGCGTTGGGCGACGTCGTTGGCGAGCGGGTCGTCGGGGTTCGGGGCACCCAGCAAGGCCTGGATTGAGAGTAGGATCGTGCGGATTTGTAAAGCGGGGGACCAGTTGTCTAGTTTGGTGGTTAGTTCTCATCCCTTTCCCCGTGGCATAAGTTCCGTAGAGAACATACTCTTGAGCACGTCCAAGCAGATCCGTCCCAGCCGGTCGATGTTGGGGTGGTAGATCTTCGTCAAGAAGCGGATCTTCGGGGGAGTCATGGGGTAGTCCTCGGGCAAAAACAGTTCGAGACGGAAGATGCCACCTTCACAAGCGAGTGGTTAGCGGCCAATCAGGCTATTCCTCGCAAATTTCCAGACGATATACCTTCGTACGGCGACTGTGCAGGTCCGTGGATCGAGACATCGAAGTAGCGCAAGTTGTCTTCATGCGGGACAGCGTTGATGCCGGGAACCCTGCGGATGGAGATACGTTAGCCAGTCTTGTAGGAGACGAGGACTCGAGGCAGACTCGACTTACGGCTCCGCCATCAGGCGCTCAGTTTCCTTGATGATTCTCTTCGGCAACGCCATTTTGGACCTGTAGATTGAAATGAACCTTAGTATACATCCAGACCCTTGGGTTCCTAGCGCCTTCAAGTACTCGAAGGTGGGGCGGGGCCTACGGTTTCTCTGCTTTTGGCCTGTCTGAAGAGTGATAAATCAAGTTCCTACACCAAAGAGGAGAAGAGAAGGCAAAACAAAAAGAAAAACAGCAGTCGACCTGTGAGCTGCTTGTTGAGAAGGAAACAAAAAGAAAAGAAAGACCAACAGCTTCAGTTGTCTATACGTGCTATACGTGATCCTCTTCCGGAAACTAATCTGAATCGACGTAACCCGACAGAGGGGCACTGCATTTCGGGTATTTGTCACCCACCGCAATATGCACGGGTTGCTCGGAACACCATCCGTGCAGGTGCCTTGACCCGAAATGGAAAGTCCGGATTCCCCCAGACTTGTGGAGCTGCGACTGAGCCTCAGTGTCTCGACTCCTTTGGGGCAGATGCGCTTGCTTGAGGTAGGCTTGCTTGTGAGTTAGGCCAGCTTCATTGATGAGATCATTGGCTAATAGCGCGCTTGCTCAGCTATCTCTAGCTCATTACCTCTCTCAAGACCCCGCATGCCCATTGCATGCAAAGCTCCGAACTTCGACCAGCTCCATACTTGCTCAATGCGCGCTACTGCTTCCTCTCAATTGTCCATTATCCGCAGTTGACCGGTCCTTTATGTTATCGAGAGTCGACATGAGACCAACACGCTCTATCGCACACGATCACATCTCTCATGCTCGCATTCCTGCTTGAATTCGATACTTTTCCAGGGTGTGGATAGCAGCCGAGACGCAGCGCAACGAGGACGGAGCTTCCGACGGCCTGGCCAGACGACGGAACCATGACGGACACCAGTGAGCCCAGGCCACCGACGTCGGCCTATGAAAGTCCAACATTCGGCGAAGATAGTTCATTTCATGTGGAGCAACCTGTTGGGTCTATGTCCATATCGCCATGTGGACGGGATGTGGTGCTAGCTTCCAAGGAGGGTCTGCACGTTATTGATCTGGACTCGCCTTACTCCCCGCCCCGGTACCTGCCTCATCACACACCGTGGGAGGTCGCGGATGTCCAATGGTCGCCATTCGCGGCCCGAGACTACTGGGTCGTCAGTACATCGAATCAGAAAGCACTGGTCTGGAACTTGGGGATGAAGACTTCGGAGAGTTCAATTGAGCATGTACTGCACGCCCACACGCGGGCGATCACCGACATCAACTTCTCGGCGCATCATCCGGACATGTTGGCCACCTGTGCTGTTGATAGTTTTGTTCACTGCTGGGATCTGCGCATCACCTCCAGGCCCGCCATATCATTCTCCGACTGGTTTGCTGGCGCAACACAGGTGAAGTGGAATCGACAGGACCCAAATGTGATCGCGAGCTCGCATGACAAGTTTCTACGGATCTGGGACAAACGGATGGGCGCGTACCCGATCACATCCATCCAAGCACATGACACGAAGATTTACGGCCTCGATTGGAATAGAGTAAGACCCGGGGCTCTCACGACTTGCTCACTCGATCGGACGATCAAGTTCTGGGATTACACAGTCGATACCGAGGTTCCTGAGAAGCTCATCCGGGCACCGTTCCCCGTGTGGCGCGCACGAAACACCCCATTCGGTTGGGGTGTCTTAGCCATGCCGCAGAGAGGTAACAGTGATCTTCACTTGTACAGCCGCAGACTCGGAGAGGGTGCCAATCCCGGCGAGGATCTTCCGTTGGTTCACAGCTTCCCGGGGCATAAAGGTCAAGTGAAGGAGTTCCTATGGAGAGCTCGTGGGGGTATAGCTGATGGGATTGATCATAGAGATTTCCAGCTCGTCTCATGGGGCACCGATCGAGAACTCCGATTGCACAGGGTTGACCCGGATATCTTACAACGAGTGGGCTATGAGAAAGGAAAGTCGTTTATCTCTAACTTTAATCTTACCCGTAAAGGTGCGGTCTACAAGTCCTTTCGGGATACGAACGCCGACCAAGATGATGAAGACACAGGGTCCCTCTCGCCGAAGACCCAACAAAGCGCCACGCCACAAACCTCCCGCAACAAGGGGCTGAATACGATTTCTATCCCATATGCGCGCGGCTGGACACAAGGTGGAGGCAACCCGGACTCCAGGATAGGCATGCAGGGGCGGACGAACGTTCGAGCCGACACCAACCCTATCGCATGGATGCGCGGCGTGAAGATCTCTGGCTGGGACATCGAGACCCTGGGTGATGAGATCACTCATGTTGGAGAGAAGTTCACCAAGGTATCTTTTGAGTCCGTTGATGTCAGGCAAAGGAAAGCGATGATATCCCTCAACGGCCCGTGGGGTGCTGATGGCGACTCTCTTTTCTTGAAAGTTGATATCAAGTTTCCGAGTGATTACCCCCGGGCTTCCATTCCTATATTCAACGTACAGAAGACTGCCGCAGTTACCGATGAGCTTGCCGACAAGCTCGTGGCAGAAACTCGGAAGATAGCAGATACCTACTTGACTCACAAGCGAGGCTGCTTGGAAGGGGTGCTTCGTTATCTACTGGGCGAAAGCACACTTGAGGAAAGTATGGCATGGATTTCTGGAGAAACAGCCGAGACTGTCAAGTCCCCAATCAATGGCCAGCTCGAGGGAGAGGAGTCAAGCGATGAGGACGAAGTCGGGCTATCCCAAAGCCAAGACTTAGGCATGAGCTCGGAACTACTTCGTCCAGTCAATGCCAACGTTATGGTGCCTGTGGCTAAGGGATGTGGTGCGTTGTGGGCAAATGACGGCCGTTTGGTATGCTTTTTTCCCTCCAAGAATGATAAATCGGCAGAATGGATGGAAAACTTAGGCCTGAGAGAGATGTCCAGGCTCTCTAGAGCCGATAAAGTTTTTGAAGGGTTTGGCCGATTGCAGACGAGCTCGCCTGGTCCGCGGCCTTCTGCTACGATTGCCAGCACTGATGATGGCGCATCAGAGTATTCCGATGACTCGGACGCGGAGAGTTCAAGCTCTTCTGGGTCCTCCGGTATCTTATCAGGGTTGCAGCACCGATTCCCGACTCCTCAAACATGGAGGAGTGGTGGCAGCCTAGGGATTTATAGGCCACGCTCTACAGATAATTCCCAGAGGTCAACAGCGGGAGCAGTGACCACGAAATCGTCTGATCCGCCTCAGAACGTGATATCGATCCACGACTTCAGTGATATGCTACCAGCAAAACGCGAATTGGCTGTCGGATATCGTATCTGTGGCAAAGCCACGGATGTGTGTGCCCATAATTCTGCCGTCGCCCTTGATCACGGGTACCACGAGCTAGCTCGAATCTGGGGCCTCCTAAGGCTCATTCTTCACAACCGGAAATCATCGATGCTTGCCTCTAGTCTAGACCAACTAGGAAGACCGCCGCGCATTCAGCGAAAAGACAGTGCTATTGATCTTACTTACGACGCCAAGAGCCATAATAGGAGCTCGAAGGGGTCCCAAGCCTCGTCAATAAGATGGGGGGATCACCCTTTTGGTAGTCACTGGCTCATTCCATCTCTATTTGATCACTTCGAACGAATCGGCGATGTACAGATGATCGCGATGCTGTCATGTGTCCTGCACGAACCAAATAATGAAGAGATATCGGCGAAGGAGAAGGTTCATCACAGTAGGAGTGTCTCTAAGCGCATGGAAGAACATTCATTCTCGTTCGACTTTTACCCTCCGCATACAGTGATACAAAACAAATCACATACTGCGACTCCCCTTGCCACCACACCAAAAGAAAGCCATACAACTCCCATCACACACAGTTCCGGACGCTCATCCTCCGAGATCTGGCGTGTTGACTCCACTCCTCCTTATTCTACGGGAACAACTCCCCCGCTGAACTCTCGAGTTGCGGCCCTACCGGCAGACCGGAAAACTTGGAGCCAAAATGTATCAATAGCAGCCTCGCCCGATCAGCAGTCTCAGCCTCGAAGTGCATCGGGGCTTGGTTCTGTTCTTGCCTCTTCCCTTTCCCGGTCTTTCACCTTTGGGCCCTCTTCGGCGTCCCCTCCCGCGACTGCATTGTCGAAGAAGAAGCAAAGTCCAAGTGGCAGCCTACATACGACCGGTGGATCCGGTATGTGGGTCACCAGTGCTCTTGCGGCCAAGCCTGCTTCGGCGGTTCCGGACTATCTGACTACCTCTACCGCGCTTACTTCACAAACCCATTCCGACACGGAAAGTGAGCGACCGTCGCCTGCGAAACCCCGGGCGAGACTGCAAACAACATTCAAGAATCACAATGCCTTTGACAGCGGTAGCTCACAGAACACGTTTCTTGACCCAAAGAAAGAAGGTCTATACCATTCATATCGAGCAGCATACGCCCACCTCCTTTCAATCTGGGCATTGCCCGTACAACGCAGTGAGGTTCTCAAAATTGGCGGCATAGCTAGTCCTCTCAAGGACCTGCATGTTCCTCGCCAAAATGCCAATGGTCACCATGATTCATTCTCTTTCCCAATCTCAAAACATCGGGGCGCGACCACGGTGCCTATTGATGAGGAGAATCGAGGCCTGGACATTCAACGCCATTGCAATAAGTGTGGACAGGCACTTCAACATTCGATCTTCGCCACAAAAGCTGCCGTTGAAGCGTTGACCTCCAAGAGTCACATGAAGGGGACTGCGACATCCACCGTCACGTGCCCCAACTGCAAACCAAAACAGTCACTTGCTCTGAAGTTGCCGTGTGTTGTATGCGGCGAGGTGGTGGACGGAATGCTTATTCCCTGTCTCGGCTGCGGTCATGTCAGCTGCTTTGATTGCCATCGAGGCTGGTTCTCCATGGCTTCCGCAGACACTCATCCTGATGATCACGCTGAGCAAGACGAATACCGATACTGTCCGAGCGGCTGCGGGTGTAAATGCTCTGATTTCATTGACATAGATCCCGCCTCACCCTGGGACGTAACCACAGACCCAACGAGTCCACAAGAGCGGGAGAGCACCCACCATCGGCATCGAAGTAAGAAGTCTGATGGGGCAGTCTCCACGAAAAATTCCGGTGAACACGCCACGGCACCTAATAGTGCTCAACATGGAGAAGACGCCGATCGATCGCAGAGCGTCTCGCCTTTTGCATCTCTGGCGAAAGGCCTGGGTGGAGGATTGAGCAGAGGGCTGCGACTACGGGACGACAAAAGAAGATCGAAGCTGTCGTCGACTTCGTTTGTCCCCAAGAAGTCTTCGATGAATCAGGTTGTTGAGAATAGATGATGGTCATTTGTCTCTGCGTTTCTAGCTAGCGACGTTGTGTATACCCCTTCGGTTTTTTCTTTGTTTTGGTAGCTCTAGGGTTAGGTGCTGGGATTAATCCTACTTTTGAGATATGGTCCGTTTACCATAATCGATCACGTAGGAGATAGAGCGGAAAGCTGTTTTGAAAATGAGCTTCTGCTTGCTTTGTAATCAGCCGGTTGTAACTTAACTATGTAAAGGTCATGGACACGAATGATAAGATCTCGACATGGAGAGTGTCGATGTGATGCCTGAAAGATCTGGCCACGAACCAACCGCTTATCGGCCAAAGTCGATCACACTCGTCATTTCTCGATCATTGACCCACGCCATCACTCACTTTGTGACCTACCTCATCTTCACCACCGTCCGACATGAGGAGTAGGGTATCTCAGAACTAGACGCTATCTTAATCTTACTCTTACGTACCCATTGCCGAACTACTATGAGCAACACCGGTCTTGTCGCATGGGGCGTTCCCCGGCTAGCGGAGCTTCTTCCGTTGGACCAGGAATCGCTCACCCAGATCATCGACTACGCCGCCAGCCTCTCCAAGGAAGAAGGAGCCAACCACCTCAAGAACCTCTTGGGTGACTCGCCGGCCGCATTCGAATTCATCGCTGCCTTCAGCTCCCGCCGTTCGGCCCCGCCGCCGCAGCGCTCCGCCGCGTCCTCACCAGCACCGACATCCGCCCCCGCCCCCTCAAGCACACCGTCCGCACCTCCCAGAAACACCAGCAGCAGTTCAGGCCGAAAAGGCAAGAAGTCAAAGCCACCGCTCCACAGCGCTGGCCCTGTGCGCCGGCCCGAGAACTTCGGCGACGTGACCGGCGGATACAGAAAGGAGGATCAAAATGAGGATTACATGCCTGTCTCGATGTCAGGCCGGGGTCGACCGGATGCGAAGCCATCTCTCGGTCTACGAAATCTACCGGTCACATCTTCTCAAGGATCATCCGCTACCTCATCGCGCAACCAGTCGCCCGCCCCTCCCCGGCCTACATCCACCACCACCACCACCACCGGCAAGAACAACAAAGCCCCACCTTCAGCCGCGGGACCCGTCATCTCGGATCTCCTACCTAACGTGAAGTCGAAAGCTGCCAAGTCAACGGCGCGTGGCGCCGCAAATGTAGGCGGAGGAGGCTCGTCCTCGTCGTCGTCGGCCAAGGGCGGCGGCGCCCTGACGACAACGAACATCACCGACCTGACAGCCGCGATCGCCGCGCTGGAGGTGTCCACAAACCCGACGCTGGGCCCGGGGGGCCGGAAATGTACGTGCTACGCCAGCATCCACCCGCTCTTCGACCCGGCGCCGAACTGTCTGAACTGCGGGAAGATCATCTGCGCGCTGGAGGGGCTGCAGCCGTGCTCGTTCTGCGGGACGCCGCTGCTGTCGAGCGACGAGGTGCAGAGCATGATCCGGGAGCTGCGCACGGAACGGGGCCAGGAGAAGATGCGGGCCCACAATGAGAGCGTCCAGCACCGGGACGGGGGACCGGGGCTGGGACCGGGAAGTAACAGTACCAGCAATAATAAGCTGGATGCGGCCCGCGCGCATCGCGATAAGCTGCTACAGTTCCAGGCACAGAACGCCAAGCGCACGCGGGTGGTGGACGAGGCGGCGGACTTTGAGACCCCCAATGTCGCGTCGACGCTGTGGATGACCCCGGCGCAGCGGGCGCTGGCCCTCAAAAAGCAGCAGCGCATCATGCGGGAGATGGAGGAGAAGGCCCGGCCGGAGTGGGAGAAGAAGAAGACCATCATGAGCTTGGATATCAAGGGTGGTCGAGTGACGCGGGTGTATCAGTCCGCCGCGGAAGCGACCGGGTCGTCGAAGGCCGCGGAGGAGGGGGTGGACGAAGATGACAATGAGGCCAAGGCTCCGCAGCGAGATGAGGCCGATCGTGGGAGCAGCGGTGGCCACGCGTTTAGCAACAATCCGCTCCTGGCGGCTGGCGGGCTGCTCCGGCCGGTGTGGAAAACGGCCGACGGTAAGCAGCCCGAGACGGCGCGCAAGGAGCGCCAGCCAACCTGGCGGCGGGTGCAGGACGACAACGACGATAACGAGCAGTGGATTCTGGATGGCGGGGCGCATGGGTATACATGATCCTATGGAGGCGCAAAGATTCTGGCGTCACCGTGCAGTTCCTTCCTCTCTCCCTGCGTCCAGGAGTGAGTGTGTTGGCTTGTACATACTCAACGTTCCCCTTGCATAGTATCTAAGTGTGTTCCAGTTCTCGCTGGTGCTATACACCACAGCAAAAACCACACTACGTATCTCTCAAGCTAGCGAGCCATCGTATCCTTCGGTGGGGCACAATGAAAGCCAGAGCCCGTATTAATCTCAACTTGGAGTAGACTCTCGTACTGGGTAATTGCTGGGCTACAATGGGAGCTAGGGCTCGTGTTCGGAAGGGCGATACCTGCTAGGTAGTAATCCTATCAGTAATAATAGTATCCTATAGCCTGTCAGACGTTACACATCAGACATATGCCGCATCTATATTACTTCTATACTTACCTATACAGTACACCCCACGGATAATGAAAAGCATAGCCAACAACTAGCTAACCACCAACAATTCAACCCAAATTCCTCCGCACTAAAGTACCAGAAACCTGCTCCGCTGGATCATGACGCCAATAGATCAGCCATAAGGTGAGGAGTGATTATGGACCATGGAACGCAACAGCCAGCCAGTTAGTCAGTCACTCGCCCAAGCTGCTAACTAGCTGCTGCGCTGCGTCAAAGCCCGCAAGTAACCGAGAAACCAAGGGTATGCAGGGCATTATTAATTCAAAGACCGGCCGGTCGGTAGGTATATATTGCACCATAAATATTAGCCATCTGCATCTTTCAATATTACCTATCAGTTTGCTCCCCACCTTGGCCCCGTGTCTTACAATTCACTTCTTTACTCGAAACATCACGAACCGAGAGCGGGAAGTGACGTTTGCGGGGAAGTTGGCAGTGCCGCAGTATACAAGCTCGGTTCGAAGCGGGTAGATTCGGCCAACCACCACTTACCATTTACGGAGGGTCATCGTATCTGAGATACAAGGTATCAGCAGCTGCCACTGAACACGAGTGAGTGGATTTGATAAAGTACTGGCTGGAGTGGTGCTTATACGACTGCTACCTACCTTATTAATACTTGCTCCCCCCCTTCTTTCTTCGGGTCGAGAGACCAACTCTTCGAGTTACATCCATCAAGCCAGTGTCAAGGCAAGCAGGGCAACAGAAGGATGTTAAGCCAGCTGAGCTGGGACGCCATATCACTATCCCCGGGCGGAATCGCCTTGGGTGTGCTGGGGTTACTCTCCGCGGTGGTAAGTGCACACCGATTTACCCTCAGATTCGCCCTATCGTTGCTCTTTCGAAGAATACTACTAATGGGGTATGGATGCAAACAGACCCTCCTCTACACCCTCTACAACCGCTACCTCCACCCGCTCCACCACCTCCCGGGCCCCCTGCTCGCCTCGCTCACCCCCTGGGTCCAGCTGTACCACGGCCTCCGCGGCGACCGCCACCTCTGGCTACACACACTCCACGCCCAGTACGGCAGCCACGTGCGGGTGGCGCCGAATTTCGTGTCCGTCAACACCGCGCAAGGGCTGCACGACATCTACGGCCACGGGAAGCGACTCAAGAAGGCCGACTTCTACAACGCGTTCCCGGCCATCAAGGGCGTCTACAACACGCACAACGTCATCGATAAGACGGCGCACGGCCGCAAGCGCCGCGTCCTGAGCCAGGCGTTTGCCGACCATGCGTTGAAGAGTATGGAGGATGTTATGCTCTTGCATGTGCGGCAGCTTTGTAGTGGGTTGGTGGGGAGGCCGCTGCAACAGACTCCAACGGAAGGTGGAGGTGGGGAGAAACAGGGGCCGGCAGTGGTGCAGGATTTGGGCCGGTGGTTTAGTTATCTCACGTATGATGTGATGGGGGAGTTATGTTTTGGGAAGAGCTTTGATATGTTGATTGAGAGTAGCCGGCGGAGGTTGGTCGAGTTGGTGGATCGCGCGGCGAATCGGCATTATATCGTGAGTGTGCCCCAGTTTCTTCTGTGCTTTCTGGTGGGTTTGGCTGACATTGCGGGGGAACACTTCCAGTGTGGTCTGTGGATGCCGCTCGATCGATGGCACCTGGACCAGATCTTCATTCATCGGTTGACCAACGACCGCTGGAACTTTATCATGAACTCCCGGGTCGAGGCCACGAAGCGCGCCCAGGAACGCACCCAGGCGGGCCACGACGCCAAACGCGATTTCTTCTACTACCTGCTGAACGCCCGGGACCCGGAGTCCGGACAGGGGCTGACCACCCCGGAGCTCTGGGGCGAGGCCAACGTCCTGATGATCGCGGGCAGCGACACGACGTCGACCACCCTCTCGGCCACGGTGTTCTATCTGGTGCGCAACCCGCATGCGATGGAGCGGCTGAAGGACGAGGTCCGCGGGGCGTTTACTTCTGTCGAGGACATTGTCTCGGGCAGCCAACTCAACGAGCTGGTGTACTTGAAAGCTTGTCTGGACGAGGCGCTGCGGCTGGCTCCCGCCGTGCCGGGGGCGCCTCCCCGCGAGGTGATGGAGGGCGGCGCCATGGTGGACGGGGTGTTCCTGCCTGAGGGGACAGATTGCGGGACGCCGACCTTCTCTATCCACCGCCAGGCTGCGTACTACCGTCAACCCGGTGCGTACCTGCCGGAGCGCTGGATCGAAGGCGCGACGTGTAAGACGGAGTTCGAGTCCTGGGAGACGAGTAAAGAGGATGTCGAGGTCGCGCGGCGTGCGTTCTGCCCATTCAGCATCGGTCCGCGTGGCTGCATCGGCAAGAGCATGGCTTTCATGGAGATGCGACTGACGATTGCACGGTTGATCTTCCTCTTTGATCTGGCGTTGGCCGACCACCGCGGGGAGGACGCCGGGGGCCACTTGGCGCTGGTGGATCACTTCACCAGTGCCAAAGAAGGGCCCAATGTGACTGTACGAGTGCGTACGTAGCTAAGCTGATGTAGATTGAGAACACCTAAAGCACAGTACATAACTTCCTCGAAATCCAATCCAACCTTCCAGTGCACAGTAGAGGCTGGTTGCAGGGCCGATACTAAGTAAATCGACGCTATCGGAAGGACACGTGCCGGACACGTGCCGCCATCCCCAGGCAGCGAGACAGACTGCCCTTCTCTTCCCCTACATTTCTCTCCCACTCCCCTTCTTACATATCAAGAAATCAGTCACTCGTTTATTTCCTTTGATCTGCTCGATATTCAGACTCTCGTTAACCTATTTTCGTTGCCTATTGTTTTGCTTTTAACTTTCATCTTTGTTCCCCCAAACACCGAGATGCCCCCTTCGGCGCTGACCACGACCTTCATACAATCGACCTTCCTTAATGCCATTGCCAATCTCCTCGCTCAGGTCATAGATCAGTACCACCGCGGTGTACGTAGCTTGATTTCTTTTTCCCGTCGTCAATTTTTCCCCAATCCCGTGCATGTATAAAAAAACACACAAAACACGCTATATACATACAAGAATCCGCGGTGTCCTCCACAACATTGACCTCTGTCATGCATGACTAACATGATTTGGGGGGAAATGGGGGAATTGGGGAAATGGGGAAATGGGGGAATAGTTTGGGGGTACTGGATAGTGGTGGTAAGTGGATGAGAGAGAGAGAGAGAGAGGGTCCTACAACTCAACTCTGGATTTGTTTCTCTGGGGTTCTGAGTTTCCCCGCCTTTGCCTTTTGCCTTTGCCGTGCCTTGCCCTGCCCTGCCGTGTTGAAACGGTGAACCCTTGGGCCTTGACGCCTTGTCGGCAAATGATCTTCCGGATCATCCCGAGTCCGAGGCCGAGTCCACTACGGGAGGCACCAACCCTATGATCCATGATCATGATGTATACATCAATTACCTAAACGGGTAATCTGTATACTTCTCCAGGCTGGCCATTCCCTTCGTGTCATGTCCCCAGGACATCATGGATACACTAGGCACTTACCACCTAGCAGGGCACTTGATTCATGCCGAGAAACAGACCTCATCAACACCGAGATCCAGCTTCTCTCTTCCTTTTTTTATAATCTAAACACCAAGCCTATCCCCCACCCACACAAATATTGGAGCCCCAACCCAGCCCCAACCACCCCAACCCAAACCCCCTCCCCGTCACCCCAGAACAACCAGAAACCGGACCCTCCCTATACTCATCCACCTGTCCACCATCCCCCTACTTACCCCCCTTAACCCCTCCCCCTCCTCGCCCCCCTAATTTCCCTTCCCAGAAACCATTCCACCTAAACCCCACCGCCCTCCTCCAATTCCTCATCTACGGCCTCCTCAGCGTCCTCCCCAACTTCCTGTGGCAACGGTTCCTCGAATCCCGCTTCCCGGGGTTCCCCTCCTGGCGGCGGCGGTGGTGGTCGTCGGCCCTCACCACCACCACCACCACCATTCCCGGGACATCATCCACCCCCACCACTACGAAGGCCGCACCACCGAAAGGGGAAGTATGCATCCCCATCCCCGGCTTCATCCCCATCTTTCCCGAAAACACCACGACCAAAGCCAAAGACAAAGCCAAAGACCAAGACCCGAAAAGGCAAGCGGGGAGGTTCTACCCCCGCAGCAGCGGCAGCAGCAACGGCAGCAGCAGCAACGGAGTCCGCAACTTCCTCGCCAAGTTCCTGCTGGATCAGACGGTGGGGTCGGTGATGAATATCGTGCTGTTTGTGGTGTTGATCAATTTGTTGAAGGGGGTGGGTTGGGCGGCGTGTTGGGGGTTGGTGCGTGAGGTAGGTGCTCTTTTTACCTTGACTGTGGTTGGACTTTTGGGGGGAGGTGTTGTTCCCTTGATGGCTGGGGCTCGGGCTTAGGTGACTTGACGATGACGAGACGATGCTGACTTTTGAGCTGGGGGCAGGACTTCCGGCCGATCATGATGGCGCGGCTCAAGTATCGGCCGCTTGTCTCGGTGCTCATGTACACGGTGGTGCCGGTGGACCGGCGCGTGGTGTTTGGGAGTGCCTGTGGGGTGATCTGGGGGGTGTATTTGAGTTTGTATGCGGTGGTATAGCCAGTGTCAAAATCTGGCGTCTTGGATATGGGCTGCATAATACTTTTTTGTTCCACAATGGGTGCTTGGGGCTTGGGGCTAGGCTATTCTGTCAAAAAACGATAGGGGCCCAATCGTCAACCATAGACTAATAATGCTTCGCGTTCGTATCATATTAGCATATTACAGTACATCACCCCGCCACTGTATGGATTCCCCGACCTGCCAACTGAAAAGGATAAATCTACATACATCCATGATGTAGCAATCTGAAACCCAGCCCCAGTCATTATAGAAAGTGTAAAAAGCAAAGAAGATTACACTTTTGCGAAGCAGCATAAGAATCAGTCCAGCCACTCCCAGCCTACATCAAGCGGCCGTCCGCTCAATCCTTCGTCCCTTGACGGACAGCCATTCAATAGGCAACGCCCCCACCAGCGCCAGCGCCCCCATCGCCACGGCCACATAGAAGGTCTGCATGATGGCCGAATTGTACGCCTCCAAAGCCTGCGGCAGCGTACTCTCCGGCACGACGTGGCGTAGCATGGTCGCTCCGGCGCCCATCACCTGGCGTACGTCCAGCCCCCCGATATGCCCCAGGTTCTCGCGCAGCTTGTTCTGGAACACGTTCTGGGCGACCGACACGAAGATCGCGCCGCCGAGCGTCTGCGTGAACACGACGATGGCCGTGGCGCTGGGCACGTCGGCCGGGCCGAGCGCGGCCTGACACACCAGCATCGGCTGCTGTAGGCCGATGCCCGCTCCGATCCCGATGATGATCTGGTAGCCGATCCAGTGGGCCGCCTTCGAGTCGGGCTCCAGTGTGCTGAGGAGGCCCCCGCCGATGGCCACGAACACGGGCGATGCCAGCAGGAATGGCGTGTAGTACCCGAAGACCGAGATCAGGACTCCGGCGACCATGGCGAACACAACGACACCCAGCAACATGGGGAGGTTCATGATGCCCGACTTGGTCGCTGATACGCCCTTGATTGCCTGGAACCAGATCGGCAGCTATTTGCAAGTATATTAGCTGCTGATTCGTCACTTGACACAGACACAAAGCAAAAAGAGGGGCACTCACATAGTAGACGAAGGTGAAAAACGAGCCGCCCATACAAAAGGTGAAAAACGCCCCACCCCAGACGTTCCGATTCTTGATCAGTCTCGGTGGAATGGTGGCCTTGTCCTTGCCCCAGATTTGCGTCCCGATAAAGCACAGAATGAGTAACCCAGACAGGAGGAACAGCGCGATGATGCGGCCATTGTTCCAGGCGTAGGTGGTACCACCCCACTGCAACGCCAGGAGCATGCAGATGACGCCCGGGAGAAAGAAGGCCGTGCCGGGGAGATCCAGCTGAGACACTTGATCCCTGAATCCGTACGTGCTCTTGACCGACCTAGGTGCCTTGAAGAACATAAGGATAAACAGGATGGTCAGCCCACCGATGGGCAGATTGATGTAGAAGCACCACCGCCAGCTGAGGTGATCGGTGAACGCGCCCCCCATGAGCGGCCCGGCCACACTGGCCACGCCATACATCCCGGCCAGCGTGCCAGCGTAGACCGGTCTTCGTTCTAGCGGTGCTGTTTGGGCAACAATCAGCATGGCCCCGGAGAAGAGACCGGCTGATCCGACCCCTGCAACGGCTCGCCCGATGATCAGAGCCACCGAATTGGGGGCTAACGCGCAGATCAACGACCCGACCTCGAAGATGGCCAGCGCAATCAGATACACCCATTTCGTCGAGTAGAATGTGTACAGCTTGCCGAAGATCAAGGTGAGCGCACAGGTCGTGAGGAGGTAGGCACTGCCGTACCAACCCACGTCGTCCAGGGAGTGGAACTGATCGGTGATCTTGGGGATGGCCGTGGCCAGGATCGTATTGTCCTTGACACGAGAAGAGAGTCAGGGGAGCTCCACACGTTAGTTTCAACTTGGATGAGATCACTTACCAAAGCAATACAGAATAGAGAGATGGAAAGTCCGATGAGAATCAGGGCAAGCTTCCACGAAGTGGGATATTCTGGCTCTGAACCAGCAGCGTCATCACCGTGACGCGAGCTTGTTGACTTGGCTTCATTCAGCGGCACATGGATCTGAGAATGGGAGGACGCTCCACGGGACGAGTGTGCAGGAGTACTGTCGCGATCAGTGGATTGCATTCTGCTGGAAGCCGCCTTTCTCATCTCCCTTCTGTTACGCGGAGGAGTCAACTCGATCGACGACGCCTGACGAGACATGGTCCCTGGATGAAGGAAAACACACACGCCCTCTCTGTGGTATCAGTCGAATAGAGTCACTATATCACCAGCAAGATGTAGATGATTCTTGGACTAGCATGGACCGATAAATCGAATCAACGGTAAGGTGAATGGGTCAAGGTGCCGTGACAACGTTAGTGTTGGAGGCAGAGGAAACCAAACGCTCAGTCAGTCAGTGCAGTACCAACAATAGCAATGTCAATCAAGTGGAAAGAAAGGAAATGGCAAGACGAGATCACTGAATCAACACTGGCCAGCAGGCACTGGCACTGGCAGAACAAAGTCCCTCCCTAATTTGGAACCGGCTGTACCACCGGACCTTTTCCCTTTTCCCTTTCCTTTCCTTTCCACCCTGACGGCGTTTGTCGTCATCAGAAGGGAATCCATCCATCCACTGCAGACACGACGGTCGGAAAGCATGGCTGTAACCCCATGCTGACTGTGGTGTCCATCCCTGTTGCATGCTCGTGTCCATTCCCAGAGGTCTTCTTTTGTATGGCCCCGGACTAGCTCACCACCCTCTCTCTGGCCTGGCCTGGCCTGGACTGGAAGAGGTCAGGAAATCGGGGCTGAACGCATGCAGTGACAGGTGGGATTGGGATGGTCACACAGGCTATGATGAATGAGTGAGCCATCAACAGCTGCATGCATGGCACGGCCGTCCGTGGAGACTTTGCCTGCTGTCGTCCGGACATTCGGGCGGATATCTACTTCCGCAGTCCGAAGATAGAAGAACATTCAACCACACACAGGCCTGTAGTTAAGTGAATGCATCCTCATCGGCCAGTCATAAAAAGAGAATGGGGCTGTCAAGAGGCTCTTAGCTCTGGCTCAGCCGAGAGGATCATACTCACAATACTCTCATGCGGGCTTGATCACAATGTTCCCATCTGGACGAAGGGATGGATATCCCTATCCCAAAACTATTGCGGCCTGATCAACTGGACATGACCAAAAGGGCCATTATGCTAGCAAGAAAGGTAGAGCTTATTTGTTATTCCCAACCAGTAAACCTAGGATATATTCACAAGATGTGCCAATCAAACAGTTGTGCAACGCCGTAAAACATGATAGTGTATCCAGCACCTCCCTACTTCCCAGCCGCTCTGCCAACACCTGATCCATGCGGAATTTCAGCCATTTCCCTTGCAGGTCCGAGTCCAGACTCGACATCAATGCCTGATATCCTAGCAAAAGGCCGCTCAATCCAACAAAAGTTGAAGCAACATTGAAAAATCACCAAAAAACATCAGATGCCCCCGATCCCTCACTGGCCACGCAGGCCGCTGGTGTTGGGCTTCTTGGCATCCTCTTTGCTGGCGACGAGAGCGATCAAAGCAGCACCCACACCACTGCCATCCTTGGAGATACCAATGCGGATTTTCTTGTTACCGGCCTCGCCAACCTCGGGGACCTCGCGGAGCGCATCCCGCATGTGGCCCTCGAAGTTGGGGTAGAACTCCACCAGACTGCCATCCACACCAATATCCACCAGATCCTCCGACTGCAGCTTGCCAGTGGAGTGGAGAACAGCCGCCAGAGGCACGGCAGCCAGACGAGCGGCACGCTTACCAATAGCATGTACCACGGTCTGGATGGCTTTGCAATCGTCGTTGCTGGGGTTCTCGATCTTCAGGTGATCCTTCAGGGCCGTCTTGATCTGATCCAGGTTCTCGGTCTTGTCGGCCTCAACCAAGCTCAACAAGCTAGTGTCAATGCCCCACTGGCGGAAGAGGGACGACTCCTTAGGGACCGAGACAGTCGACGATGCGCTAGACTTGAGGAAACCCAGGGACTCGTTGCCGTGCATGTCCAGCATGACACGGCGCAGGATCTCACCCAGGAACATACCGGAGACGCGCTTCTCGAACATCTGAATGCCAGGGTTGTTGCTGTCCGCGTCCAGTTGCTGGTCATAAACGGTGTTGGGAAGGACGCTCAGGCGGTTGTCGAAGCTGCCCCATTCGGCGTTGATGATCATCTCCCCGGTAGACTTGTCGTACGAAGAGTGTTCAATGGTCTGCATCTTGGTGATGCGGTCGAGCTTCTCGACATAGGCACCGTTGGTGCCCGTGCCGAAGATGGCGCCGAGGAAAGTACCCGTGGCACCAGGGGAGGTGTAGGAGCGAGCCATCAAGGTTCCCACGGTGTCATTGACTAGGGCGGCCACACGCACGGGGAGATCCAGCTCATCGATGGCGCTCTGCAGCAACGCGCAGACATCCTGGCCCACGGCATCGGGGATGTCGAAGCCCTTGGTCCAACGGATCAGGGTACCCTTGTTGATGCCCAGCTGGCGGACGGGGAAACTGAAGGTGAAACCCAGGTCAAAGAGTTCCTCCTCGCAGTTGTCCTTCTTCTGGTTGCGGCGTCGAATGTGTGCCTCAAAGTGCTCGTTGTGGTGAATGCGCAGGAACGACTCGATCTGACGTGCCAAGAACAGGAACAGATCCTTGGCGGTGCCGGAGGACATGGTCTCCCGAGGGATCATGATCTTAGACTGGGTCAGGGAGAAAGTGGTGTCTCCATGGAGGTCAATGGAGCACACGCGGAAGTTGGTTCCGCCAAGGTCTACAGCCAAATACAATCCCTGTCGTGTCTGGTCAGCTGGCGGGGTCCGGATCGATCCGGAGGGAAGAGGCCCGGCGCCTGATTCTCTTACCTTTTCTGTGCCATTGGGTACAGAGGTGACGAAGGTTGGGATCTGGCTCAGGGTGGTGTGCTCTTGCGACAAGCCCTCGTCCATCTCGCGCACGTACTCTGTTACACCGCGACGCACCTCGTCGGCGGGGTAGTCAAACTGGCGGGCAATCCGCACAGCCTCTTGGAGAACTGGGGAAGACATGATGACGATTTTGATGTGATGAAGGAGGGGAAGAGAAGAGTAGAGTGAGAATGTCGCAAGGATGACGAGGACAAAGAATATGGAGAGGATTCCCGGAAAGAGAGAAACTGGAGGGAGAGGCGGGGGAGGGGAAAGTAGTAGGCCGGAAGAGGAGATAGACTTGCGGAGGGAGAGGGGGGGAGAGAGATCGAGTATGGAGAGGAGGAGTGGATGAGTGAATAGGCAGATGAAGAAAGGATTTCTGGAGAGGGAGAGAGAGGAGAAATGGAGCAGGTGGAGAGGGTAACAGCAGGATAATAAACGAAAGGACAGAAGGACGGAGGAAAGAGAATAATACGGGAATAATGATGAGACTATCCCATTTTCATGGCGGGGTCGATGAGGTCAGTCCGTCGCGGGGCGCCCAAGGAAAAAAAAACCAACGACAGGGCCGGGTTCGCCGGTCATCGCCTTCGCCTGTCCAGTTCCCGAGTCCCCTTCCCGATTCTTACGGTAACCATCCAGTAACTATTCAATTCTGATTCAGTATTCATTATTCAACAGTCCCGTAGCGAGTGCACTGTCAAGATTCCATGACGTACAGAAACCACGAGTGCTGGTGGGGGATTGGGTCGTTCCTTCACCGGTGAGGGCAAAAGAGGTTTAGTAGAGAAGGAAATGGAAGGGGCCCGATGGAGAACCTGAAGCCTTTCTGCCAAGTGAGTCTCACGATGGTGCGGTATTACTCAAGTATCCTGAGTAATTTTCCCCTGATGATGAGACATGTGGCCTCCCACATCTCCAGATATGCCTCTGATCTGGGGCATATGGAGAGAATGAACTATACTGTGTACGGAGTAGGTAACACGCGACGAAGGATTGGTCCCCCCTTTCCCCTGCAGAGTACAGAAGCTGTCAAAGACAAGAACACCATCGATCATGTCAGCTGCATCTCGGTGATCATCAGGACCCTGCCTACTGTAGACAAAGACGTAACCTTAAAAGAACAATGTTTCCCGGGGGGGGAGGGATTGATGGTTGGTAGCATCACCATACGGGAAGATGGGATACGAGCAGGATCAGGCGACTTTGAATCCGTACCGGATGCGGTATCAAGCCCCAGGCCACGAGATCAGGCACTAACTAGGCACCAAGAGCCAAGGCACCGAGGCAGAGTTATCCGATCTGACACCTCAGGCATTCACACGTCCAGGCATCCAGACATTCAGGCAGAGGTGAGAAAAATCAAGGCACTAAGGCAGGAGCTATCCGTCGTCACTGACTAATGGCACGTGACTATGACCGGCGGAAGTCGGCTGGGAATGCAGAAGCATCAAGATGCAATCCCCTCCGCCGACAGTGGAATTGTCCCCGATCCGTGCATTCAGCGGCCACTCATTACCCTGCCTTCCTCCTGAACGTACCATCGGTCTTCGTGTGGCTGACGGACTCAACCCATTTTCCTTGATAACGAACCCTCCCTAACACACCCCTCAATTCATCACATCATGGGCGCCGGCAGCTCCAAGCCCGAGGCCTCGGCCGGCTCGACACACGTTTTCACGAGGTATGTACACATCACAGCTGAGGCAGCTCGCCTGCATCATGCTTGTGTGTCTCCCCAATTTACACTCATGCGCCAAGAAAACAAGATTGGCGCAATTGCGCGGCTCAATGGGTTGGAGAAACCAAGGTGACGACTTCGTCACGACCCTTCCAATCCGCGAAATCACATACCTCAACACCTACCATTCATGAGTTCCAATGGCGCCTGGATCAGTCCGAACCAAAGCAAACTTGAAAGCTAACAACAACTCCCAATCCAGCAACTCCCCCGTCCAATTCTCCTCCAACCTAGTTGAGTCCCTCCAGAACAACACCGAGGTACGTTACCTTGAACAATTAAATCCACCCCCCAAATCCCCAAATCTCCTCCACAACCATCATCCACCCAACCATACTAACTCTTCTCGAAAAACAAAAGACCGACTCCTCCCGCGCCAAAGCCCTCGAACTCCAGATCCAAGCGCGCGTCTCGGAAGAACTCGAACGCCTCCGCGCCCGCGAACAGCAGACCCTCGCGGAGATCGAGAAGCGCCTCGCCGAAGTCAAAGACACCGCCACCTCTTCCTCTTCATCAACATCCTCCACATCCACCCCGAACATCGCCTACCCGCCGGGCTCCCTGAACCTGGATGCGCCCCGCATCCCCTTCGCCGGCCGCGAGGCCACCCCCGCCGCTGCCGCGGCCCCGGAGGCCCAGAAGCCCATCAACCTGGACGTGTCGCGGGACTCGGTGAACTCGGAGATCGAGGAGCTGCGTGCCCGGCTCGAGGGCCGGCGGCGGTTGGCGCAGCTGGACGGGGAGGTGGAGAAGGCCCGGGCGGAGGTGGTGGGTTGTCTGCGGTTGAACGACCGGCGGCCGCTGAACTGCTGGAAGGAGGTCGAGAGCTTTAAGCGCGAGGTCGCGAAGATGGAGGAGGCGTTTGTGGATCGGATTGTCGGTTAAAGTCGGGGATAAAATGGACAGACAGACAGAAAGACAGTCGATGTGCGGTTGCTCGGGTTTAGAAAGAGAGGGGGGGGGGATCTTTGGGAACATGCGTCCACTGACGTTTGTGTAAAGTGTGTTGTTAGTTCTGTGTGAGTGTGTGTATGTGTTAGCTATGTTGTTTCTTTATGAATAGATTCGATTCCTGTGGTTTTCCCTTCTTGGTTTGTGTCATTGTGTATATGTCCGTCGATTTGGGGTTTATCTTGGCTGCTTGCTACATAGATTCAAGCACATGTCTCCGTTTACGAAAAGGTTAAGACTCAGCAGGGTCATTTCCTGGCAACATACACAACTCAACATGGGCATCATTAAAACCCCCAACCAAGACATTCAAAACATCCGCCTGGAACCAACCTTCTCCTTCGCATGAGATCATTGATATTCAACACCCACCTCAAACCACACCTAATTGGCATCCATAAATTCACTCTACAAAACTGCGGGGGTATCATGAAGACCGAAACCCATCTACATACAACATACAACCATGAAGAGCATTACCTCCAACTCAGATCCCATCCACAGCTAAACAAGCTCCCAATACCCCAGTCGCCCGACCAATTCACCCGCAGACCGAACAATGCACAGGCTCTTCTTCGCCTTCGCTTTGTCCTTGCTAGTAGTAGCCTTCCGGACCTTGATGATCTGAATCGACCCAATGCCCATTCCCTTGCCCTCCGCCAGGTTGTAGTTGCCCGTCGTGACGAAGCCAATCAGATCATCCTCAGAGGGAAGCGGGAGGTGTGTCTGGCGGTCATCGACCGTGTCGGCGCAGGGGGCTATGAGCGATGCAGCGAGACGCTGTTGGGCGTCGTCTTTACTTGGAGGCTTGTCGGTGGCGGTGGTGTTGGCGCGGGATTGTTTACTTTGGTCGGTCTCCTTCGAAGCGAGGGAGACCCAGCGCTGTCTGAGGTCTGGGTCATTGGTGGGGAGACGGTAGATGCGGGCTCGAGGAGTCGGGGTGCCACGGCTGACGAGGGAGATGCGAACTGTGGCAAGGGTGGCGTTATCAACACTGACTGATCGATCACTGAGTGCGCGGGATGCTTGTGATGACGAAAGTTGGTGGATGTTCAGCGGTGGAAGGCTTGTAGTAGCATCAGCAGCAGCATCCCTCATAGTGATATCTGCCTCTCTGTCCGTCCTCTGCGCATTCTCGGCAGCCTTGGCTGGGCCCTGAACGAGTCTTTCCCAATCGCATGCCCAGCCTCGGCCGATTTCGCCTTTCTGACCATTGCGCAGATCCAGAGAGTCGAATTCGACCCGACGCCCCTTGGGCCTTCGCTCCCATGCCTTTCTCGCCTCCTCTCGCTCGCGCAGACCCCATTCCCACCCGGCACGGGTTCCGGGGTAGTCGCCAGGGAACCAGGGTTCACCGGATTCGAACGCCAGCTGTTGCTGCTCTTTGAGACCTCCGAATCGGGGGATGCCTCCGCTTGACAGAGGGTAGTACATCAGGCTGTACCAGACAGGGAGAACGCATTTCCAAGGGAGCAGGATCGTCCAGCTACCCGGGGCGTTGTTGTCCTTCGATTGCGCAGGCGATCGGCACGCAAGGACGATGACAGGGATCTGCGGATCCGTCTCCTTTGCTGGGGGGATTTCTCCCGGCCCAGCTGCTGAGCGTCGCCGATTGATGGCCTTCTGGCTCGGCATCTGACGCGCAGCGGCCAGACGCGCACGGCGATCAAAAAGAGCCGGTGCAGTCTGGGTACGATCCGGGTGCCAGTCAGAGAGCAGAACCGCCAAATCCTGCATGTCACTCTCGGATGTTGGGGGTTTCAAGGTCTTTGGAGGGTGGCTCAATCGGGGATCGGAGACAGAGAAGGCGAGCAGCGCCTCTCTCGGTAACGAAGCGGCGTTGGACACCCCCAACAAGGAGCTCCAAGTAGCCTCCGGGCTATTCTGTGTGAAAGGCTTTCCATCCGCGACGACCGGCTTCAGGGAAGCGATCAACGCCTCCATTGACCCGGGGCCAGTGATTTCAATACTACCAATCTCGAATCGGAGATCCTCGACCATGACGGGCGGGTTCTGCTGTTTCGAGATTACCAGCACCTCATTCCACAGCTGCAGGAAAGCCGACGGGTGAACACGGATCCAAAGCTTCTTGCGTTGCTGCAGCAGCTGCTTCTTTTGTTTCCCAGCAGCAGCAGCATCAACATCCAACATTTCCACATCCCGATCCTCACCCCCCGCAGCCCCAGCAGCACACCACACCAACATAACCTCCGCAATCGGCCTCCTGCTCTCCCCCTCACCCGGCGGCGCAGCAGCCTCAAACACCCAAGCCCGTAACCCTCTCTTCCCCTCCCTCCACTTCCTCCCCTTGACCCCCCAAGCACCCTGCCCCGCATCACCATCAACCCCCAGGGCCCTCAAAACAGCCTCCACCGCCGCCCCCGCCCCCTCCAACTGCAAGGTAGCCATATAACTCAAATCCCACGCCACACAGCCCCTCGTACCCCTCGCCCGATGCGTAGGCCGATAGCTCTTCTCCGTCGGCGACAACGGCACGGCAAACCGCCACAGCGGATCCAGCGAAGTGGTCATCTTCGCCCGCTTCGCATGGAACATATGGGTCGGCAGCCAGGTCTTGCAGCGCTGCCGTTTCCGGAACCGGGCCTCCGGCGGCGCGGGACGCGAGAGCTGGTTCTTTTTAATCTTGGGCACGCGCGGCGCGATCTCGAACGCATGAGTTGTTGCTGCACCCCCGGTGTTCGCCGCCGCCGCCGCCGCCTCCAGTTGTTGTTTGAGTTCAGCTGCCCGCTGCGCCCGCCGCTGCACCCGTTTCGCCTTCGTCCGCCGGTTCAACCCCTGCAAGCGGCGCGCCGTCTCGAGGCGGATGCGCATCTGTTCGGTGGGTTTGCGGGTGCGCGAGTTGACGGTCGGGGTGTTGTCTTCTAGCATCTGTGCGTATGGCAGAATTCAAGGGGTTAGCAAAGGAGAGAACAATTTACCTCCTCCCCAAAAAGAAAACCCTCCGCCCGTAAAGAAGACGTACCTCTCTCCTCGCCCTCGCCCTCAACCGCCTCGGTACGCGCTTGACATTATGACTCGCCGTCCGCCGCCGCAACGCCCGCGGCACCTTCTGGAACGCCCGACTCGTCAACGCCGCCCGCGACCGCTGCATCCCGGCCTCCAGCGACCGGATCTCGAACTCCCGGGCCTCGACGTACGCCGCGACGTCCAGCTCGCCGGTGACGGACAGGGCCGCGTCCGAGGTCTGCACGGCCAGGGTCCGGGCGTCGAAGGTTTTGGCGCGCTTGCGGGCGGCAGCCGCCGAGAAGCCATTGTTGCTTTTGCTGTTGTTGCTGTTGGTGTTGTTGTTGCCATTGCGGCTGCTAGTGGTGGTGCTGTTGTTGTTTCTGCTCCCCGCCGCCGCCGCCGCCGCCGTGCGCTTCGAAGGCGGATTGAGGGCCATCCGTATGATTTTGAGAGGAGTCTTGGAAGGATAAAGGAAATTAAAAATGACTGGTCCGGGAGTGGATTAAAGAAACAAGGTGCAGGGCAGGTTCGTAGAAGCTTTTGTTTTCACCCTCTCCGCTTCTCTAATCCCTGCCTGATCGTAACTTCTGTCAATGATAAAATGATGGAATGGGAACAAATGCATGGCCGGCACATGGAAAGGTTCAGGTTTAGCGCAAGTCACGCTCCCGCCGCGCCGGCCAAAACAGCCACACACAAAAAAAGGCACCCACCAATGACAGCCACTGGAGGGGCTCAGTCTTCAAACAGTGAACTTACTAAATCTAAACGCTTGCGAGCTTCGGGCTTAAAATCATGTAGATCCTTGCAAGCTAATGGTTGGCTTGATCTCCTCTCTACGGGTATTTCACAGCTTCTGAGTATACCGGCCTGCTTGTTACGCCTTCTACGTCGACGACTCCAAAAGACTCAAGACTCTTTGACATCATTGACTAAAGTTACAATGGATCAGGTTTTGATTTCATAGCATCGTAATGCGTTGAATTTCTTCAACTATCTAGTGGGAAGTCTAGCTCTTTCTAACATGACTTTTTGTTTTGCCTTTATTCCAGGTCATTATCCCACAAAGCTAAAGGTCAACGCCATCTATCAAAGCCCATGCAACCTCTATTGTGTTGGAAATTGGTGCATTTACAGGTTCTTGAGGATGGTCTCGGCGCTCGAGAACTGTGATGAACGTTAGTGGTCGATCAAAAATCTCAACGAAACAAGTGGCTCGACATACCTCGAGGTGGTTCTTAGCGGGCTCACGCTTGGCGTAGGTGACCTTGCCGTGGTCGATGATGATGGCGTAGCGGCCAGTGCGGCCCTCCTCATCAGCCCAGCCGATGCTCTTGGAGAAACGGGCCTCGGGGTCGGAAAGGAAGAGCTGTGATCTGTCAGTTGGGGCTCAATGGGGCAGTGGATGAGGATGAAGAACATACGAAGTCATCACCAGTGACGTTGTTGGCCTTACCCCAGGCGCTCATGACGTAGGCATCGTTGTAGGCAAGGACGGCAACAACGTCGACACCCTTGGCCTTGAGCTCGGGGAGCTTCTCGGCGTACTCGGGGACGTGGCGAGCAGAGCAGACAGGGGTGAAAGCACCGGGGAGGGCGAAGAGAACGACCTTCTTGTCGGCCCACTCCTTGGAGGCGTTGTAGTTGATGGGGATACCGCAAGCCTGGATCTCCTTGTTCTCCTCAGCCCAGGGGATGTAGCTATCAAGCAGAGACGAGTCAGTGGAATTGTTGCGAGGTCGATAGCGATGCGGTGGCAAGGAGGTATTGCCAGACATAGTCGTGCATGCAGGAATAGACAAGATATAGTGAGAGGATGAACTTACGAGAAGACGACGTCGGAGGGGAAGCTGTCACCGGGGTTGAGGCCAGACATTGTGATGGATTGGTTGTGTGTGAGAAAGGTGGGTTAAAGAAGAGAGAAGTGAGAGAGTAGTTGATGAATTGGAAGAAGTGGGTTGGAGATTGGTTTAAATACGTAAGAGAAAGAAGGAGAAGAGAGAACGGATGGAGGGAGGAACCCGTGGCGGGCTAAATATATGCTGATGGGATGGGATGGATGGATGGTTCCTGCCGGAAGGCGTGCCTGTTGGCAGGCCAGCGAATTAACGCGACGATACGGCAGCGACGGCCCGTCTAAGGCGCCATAAGGTGATCCGAAGCAGAAAGATACCGAATCAATTGGATTCTTACAGTGAATTTTGGAGGGGGGTTGTATTATCAAGAAAGACCGCCCGAGACTGAGCCTTGGGAGAGCCCCGCCAATTGCCCCTCCTCTCCACCGCCGATATCTCTGCTATCTAGACCGTCCTCGGTGACAAATCCACCTCCGTCCTCTCCTTCATCGTCATTGTCTAGATCGGGATGCTGATTGATAACACTCAATTCTGTGCTCACTGCTCAGGGGCTCTAATACCTTATGACTCAGCTGACACTGTGCTCAACTAATCTTTGAGCCATACTGTGAGTGAATATTTCGGAGTCTCGACCGGGTTATAGGCCGAGATCGATAGTAAGTCTGAAAGACAGGGCAGGTGGAACTGATTCCCCCACTCGGATCATCATCATGATACCTCAGACTGACTTTTAGATACAGTTACAGAGGTATCTAAGCCATGAGTTCCATTATGATACTATCCAGTGTGGAAACAACTATCAATCGCGCCCAATGGCTCCTCGTCGAACAACTACACATAGCCTAAGGAACCAACCGATTGCCACGGCATTCTCACCCATTAGCACATCTCCGCCTCATTTCCCAAATACTAATCACAAAATCCAACTCCAGGACTGACAGACACCACCCTACCTAGTATCGCTCTCATCAGCAACCTAAGGTACCTACCTATACAGAGTCACAGACCCCGGCCCTGCAGGAGGCCGTTGAGACGATCCCACTACTCCCGAGGGAGTGCGCTCATTGGCGGACGGCCAAGATGGCGAGGACTGTGGATCTCCGAGGCGAATCTCAACCCAATCACACTTCCCACGGCGTTTGTTGCTGGCAGGGATAGAATCTTCTACGGCTTGTCGGCTTTCTCACCGCCAAAGACCCGCCAACTACGTAACCAGCCCCGAGAACCTTGGGGCTTTCGTTCCCCCGCCACTATGCCGGATCAAAACACCCCTGGTTCCGAGGCAACAAGGCTTGGTTTACCCATCACAAGGGCTGTACCACGAAGGAGAAAAAAAAGAAGAACTTGGTTCCGTGGGTGCACATGCAATTTTGTGTCATGCTCGCCACAGAAGTCAATTGAGGTTCTTTTGCTGTAGGAGGGTTGATTCTGCGGGTCAAACAGGCACCAATCTGATAAGACGTTTCGCTGCTTGTCCTCCGTAGTAGTGGTGGCTGTGAATACGCGATGTTCTGGTGTCATCTGGACCCTTTGATTACGGTCAAGATTCCTACACAACGACTGATTGTTTATGTAGAACTCAGTGATTGATGCTCAGTCATGCACAATACGCTGGGTCTCGGTCATCGCATGCGACCGACTGATTATCTAAGGCAGGTCGAATTCCGGGGCAACCGTCTCCACTATGCTTATACAGCATCTGGATTCTAGAAGGCGATAATTATCGCCACCGATATAATCAGGGACTGATCTATAGATGCTTACACACAGTGCTCAGGGTCACTAAGAAATCGTGTCTAGATGCAGGAACCCCCAACCAGATGAACTGATGGCGCCGCATTCGTCTTGAATGTTGAGACAGATCCACTATTCTTGTGAGACTGTTACTACAAGCGTTGACGGCTGTGCTTCCCAGTCAGAGCCAGTTGTATTGACAGTGGCATATATGAGCGAATGTACAAGGTCAAAGCAGTTTGGCCATAGCGGTCATGTTATCAGACGACTCCATTCCCCGGAGTTGAGTAACCATCCTAGAGTTTCGACGCCAGACTCAGAAGCTCAGCGGTGGAACCCTGGTGAAAGACCTCTCCTCCTGCGCCAGCGAGTGCAAAGCAGACAGTAGGGTCAGATCGGCGGCCGACAAACTGCTGCTTTGCTGCACACCAGGAACATGAAAAGGCCTTTCTTCAACCTCACAGACCTTGCCATGACTGGGGAGCTCGCCAGTCTGGAAGTATTCTCGGATCACCTTGGCTGAGCACAACGACGGGCCGCTCAAGGTACAATGCTGCAGCATGAGACGTTGAGTATCAGTATGTTTGCCGCCACTGTAGGTAAAAAATCATGACAACCAAGAAGTGTAGGGCACTTACCCCAACTGAGTTCTGCTGTAGTACAACCGACCCGGGGAACTGCTTCGACATTGTGAATGCACTGCGGGGATTTTATTAGCTATATGTCACAACAGACACAGAGAGAGTTAAAAAAGCGGACTGACTTTCGGAGAGGCGTGACTGGGTCGTAAGTGTTTCCCGCAAACAATAGCGGATGGGATGTGTTCCCAGCGATTGGGCCTTTTGTAGAATGAGTCAGGGTTGATAGAACAATCCGAGTATCAACGAATGCGCCTACCCTCAAATTGCCATGCAGGCCTTGCCTTCCACTCGATGCAGCCGAAGCGGATCTCAGCCCAAATGTCCCCCACAGTCTCACTCTGGTTACGCAGCGTGTGCCAGTAGTTCCTGAACGTCTCTTTATCCATTCCACGGATATCCTGCCCATCGGAGCATAGGATGCTCATCTGCGCCTCGTCGGTATTTTCACCCGGAACCATACACGGCTTGGAACCATTATGATCACACGGGGGCGTCCGACGCCAGTCCTGGCGCTCCCGCTGCTTGTACTCGGCAAACGCGGAGCCATTCCTGTGAGTGAGGTCCGTCAAAAATCGCGCCACCCGCTCGAATGACTCCATCGGCGTGTAAACCGCCTGCATAACCAGCATCTTCACATCGCTGTAGGTGATGATGTCCGGGCCGCGGTCCCCGGACGCCGGAACCGCGACCGGGTTCGCCTTGAGGGTCGTCAGGAGATTCTCGTAGCGATCGATCGTCGCTTGCAGGCCCCCCTGCCCCGTAGCGAACGAGCACACCTCCGGGCCGACGGAATCGCAGAGCTCGAAGAAGGACAGCCACGCCGCGTCCGCGTCCTGCAGGTTCGTGAGCCAGCCGCCCGCGTAGTAGTCGTTGACGTCGCACACGCCATCGATCACCGCCCGGTGGATGCGATGGGGCTGCATCGCGGCGAACGTGGATCCCAGGACCGTTCCGTACGAGAACCCCCAGTACTGCAGCTTCTCCTGGCCTGGCACCCAGCGATTACGCCGGAGGATCGCTTTTGCCTCTGCCTGTGTCTGGCTGCTGCTGCTGCTGCTGCCGACGACCGCCTCCAGCGAGCCCCTCTCGCGCAACCTTCCAAGAATCCTCTTCGTCTCGCGCTCCCGCCACTCGCCATGCCGCTCAATGAGTTCAACCATATCCGCGACCACCGTCGGGGTGTTCACGAACCGCCCGATCCATTCGCCGCTTTCCTCATCCCCCGGGTGCGTGCATGTAAGCCCCATCGCCCCATGCCGCGCCCACCGCGCATCAAAGACCCTCTCCTCGCTCCCCAGAATCCCCTCCGCATCCACCTGCAACTTCCACGCCCGTCGCGCGGCCGAGTCACGGAAACACGAGAACGCGGGGGTCGTATTATTGACCCCGCGGGGATCAAAGCTGACCACATCGAAGAACTTTTCTTCGTTTTGTTGTTGCGAATCCGGTGCTGCCGGCTGCGCCGCCGAGTCCACCACGATCTGGATGTGCTGCCCCCGCTTGAGGAGCATACTCACGCCCGAACCGCCGGGGCCCCCGGGATTCAAGAGAATCGGCCCGCCGTATCGCGGATCGGTGACGGGGACCTTGGCGGGGCGCTTGATCACGGCCAGTGCGATCTGCGCTCCATGGGTGTCTGTGCGGTTCCAGTCCATGGGGAGCTCGAGGCGGGCGCATTCGTGGTCGTCGAAGCACGGGTGGTAGATGAGGTGCTTGGTGGGTGTGATCTGGATTGTTTTTTTCTTAGTCTCGGATTGCAAGGATTCAGATCAGACTCAATAGATTTACTTGGTCCCAGCTAAAAGGACTGCCATGATCGGCATGTGGAGAGCCATGATGGGGCTTCGCGCACTGCGGTCGGAGAAGGTGCAGGTGGGATTGGGACAGAGCCACGGCTCCGACTAATAGTAGGACGATGGCATGAAGGGCTCGTTTTGCGGGTCGTGACGAGCTGGATGGCGATGGTGGGATTGGTGACTGGGGGACAGGAAGGTAGTCGTTTGGTTTCCACGAGGGAGGCATCATCATGTGATATTAGAAAGGGTTGCCAGCCGGCTTTCTTGAGGAGAAATATCAGCGCACTTAGGTGTCAGAACAGGATAAATCTTCGTGTATCATGGGCTAACAGTGTGTTGCTAGCACCGAGTAATATATATGCCAACGGCAAGTGTTGTCCGATTATATGCGCTAGTCTATAGCTGCGTCGCATCCATGCGAGGCAGCAGTCCACGCGGTATTGACGGCCCCGTATCTGCCATGTTCACAATTGAGTGCCTCCGGGAAATTAAGTGCTCATTTGACCTCTATGATACCAAGTAACTAAATCTCTATCGGGTTGAACGCGACCGAGTCCCTATTCTTGGAATTTGCGGGGTTCACGGTTGGCACCGAATTGAGGTTGGGTGCATGCTTAAGCATAATGGACAATTGCGTGACATATATTTAACTGGCAGATAAGGCGGGCGGCGAGCAACCACGTTTCTACAATTTAGTAATCACCGCTTTACTATTTCACCTCACTTTGCAGAGCTAATCAGAACTCGACCGTCCTATCATCCATCCCCAAAGCTAACTATCCCGAATTGAATTAGCGAGTAAACCAACTTACTACACAGTAGGTACAATATGTAGTAATTCGGACTAAAATCTGACATCCAGCCCCAACAAAACAAGCCTGCCTACATGCGTAGTACGATCACATGACCATAAGCATCACGGCATCACCACGAGTCAACCACAACAATTAATGTAATCTCCGAACTATAAGCCAGTGCTCCTCCTCATCAACCACGCATCTCTCATCCCAAGTGCATCTCAGCCAAAATAAGCTCATCAAACCAGCAAAAAACAATGGCCGACATCAAGCCACCATTCACCGAAGAATCAGCTCGCAAGAAGGTTAAAGCGGCCCAGAACCTGTGGAATTCCCAGTACGTTTGGTCTCCCTCCCAGCTGTTGTTGTTAGGGCTCGAAGGTGCTGTTTGTTGTCGTTTCACCTGTGATTTCTTGCATACTACTTACTACTCTCTGTTGCAAGATGTCTTTTTGTCGTGTCTTACTCGATATCGCTCACGCCCACGCAGGCATGAAGGAGTCACATCATCATGCATACAATTTACATTTGCTTCCCCCCTCCCACTCTCCCCCCTTGCTTGCGAGAATCGAGGGAGACTTCCCGCCCTCCCCCCTTTCCTCTCTCTGAAACCCGCCCTCGTGCTGCCCCTTTCCATCTTCTGTATTTGCATCACAGGATTTCCCATCTCTCTAAACCTGCACCTGGAGGGCAGGCATCATCTTGCAACAAGAAACCTAAGATGTTTATGCTCAAGACGAAAAGCTGGCACCGAAACCTCACCTTAGATCATGCCCTCAGCGTAAATACTATTTTTTCCCTGCACAATACTTACACAGCGCCTCAGAGACCCCGTCCGAGTCGCGCAGGCCTACACCCCGACCTGTATCTGGCGCAACCGCACCTCATTCTTCGCCGGAACCGAGGGCATCGTCGAGTTCCTGACCGCGAAGTGGAAGCGCGAGCGGAGGTATCGTCTGCGGAAGGAGCTGTTCGCGTTCACGGACGACCGGATCGCCGTGCAGTTCTGGTACGAGTTCCAGGACGCGGACGATGGGCTGCGCTGGAAGCGCTGCTACGGGCTGGAGGACTGGACTTTCGACCGCGAGACGGGGAAGATGCGTAAGCGGATGATGAGTGGGAATGATGTCTTGATTGGACCCGATGGGAATGGGGAGGGGAGGTGGTTTGTGGATGGGGTGGATGTTGACGAGGCGGAGATTGGGGAGGAGCATTGGTAGTGATGAGATTAGGTTGATGTCCTAATGTGCTTTTGAGACGATATCTATACTGAGTAACCCGATATCCCCGCGGCCACGAGCACGGATTTTGCATGCGAGGTCGTTTCCAAGTTCTTCTCGGAGCTGTCAATCAAACCCCCCCAGCAGATTTGGCGGTGCATGTTCAGTCTATGCATGCAGTAGAACTCCGATTGGATGGGTGATAGGGCGCCTATGCAAAGGCGCATTACCCCTCATCTGGACGTAAATTCAACAAAGCATAAGTCTCCGTATTTTGGATTTATTGCTGGTATGTATCCCAGCGATGGAAGTGGTTGTTGGTGTGTGTTGTTGTTGTTATTCTCCAATCATGAGTTGCCGCCCCTGGTTTTAGGGAACGAAGGGGAGGCACTGGAATGTGCAACCAATTCCCGAATGAACACTCAGACTTTCCATTCCCTCCTCTTCCTCTGGAGTGAGCTAGCTCACTGGAAGTTCTGGAGGGATGGCCAAATACTCAGTAGCGTGCGAATGGTGGGTGACCCTCAGCTATCATGTATGGTGAGGCTTTCCACCGATGAAGATTCGACGAGACAACTCGCTATGCGCGAATAACTCGTATCATAGGGTGAAAAGTAGATCAACTAGCAGTCAAGCCAGTTTGCCAAGCTCAGCAGGTCACTTTGTCGTTCATGTTGTCCAATGCTGCCTCGAGTAATGTCTTCAGTTCAAGCCTCGAGAATTGGCCAGAGGCTGCATTCCACCCAGTTCTGCGGCAATACCAACCAAACAAAACACCACTTATTGGCCATTCCACGGAGTTGGCTTCTGCATGGTATGCTCCAGACCAAGCCATGGGTGAATCGACCTGTGTTTGTTTGGCTTTTCGGGGTTTCGAGTAATGTGCCCGTGGGGCATGCGCCTCTGCGCAAAGTTGGCTGGCACACACACTGCAATGTATACTGTCGAGTGCCTGCTCTGTCCGTTCCCCTCCCATCATCGATGCTAGCAACAGTCGTCACACTGCCCACCCACTCACCAACCCACCCACTCACCAACCGTTATCGCCGCCTGCATTATAGTCTGAAAGTCGCGTCGTGGTCGTCATCCCACATGTGCTACACGAGGTTTTGCTAGACGAGAATCGACCCGGGAAATTTACTAACCAAACACTATTAGGCACGCGACACTCACCCACTTCGACCCGCTTGATTCACTCACAGATCAGACACAGACGCCTACGTGCCCGGTCGTTCGAGACCCCATCTTGCTGTCTCGAATACGTGACCTAAACACCTCGCGTCAGTCCGTGTCTCACTATCCTCCAACTTCACACGCGCAAGTCAGGAGGATCTACCTTCCCCTGATCGACCAGATTGACGTCTCGGAGAATTAAACGCAGAATCATATTGAAATGTCAATCCTGAGGCAGGTCATCTCGCAGTGCTAAATCGGGTACACGGGGGGAGATGGACGAGAATAATCAAATCTACCTGAGTCCTCAGATGGTGCGGACCCCATTGATGGATGCCACAACAAGAGCCAACAAATACCCAAGCCTCAAAGAAGAGAAGGAGGAACAGATGAAGCAAGGACGATACTACCAAGCTACCTCGCCAATGCCGATGTCGATTGTGACCAGTCCATTATCGACCAAGCCCGATGCGGAGATGAATTACGCGACCCCGGTGGCCGAGTCTCGGGCTGCAACAAACCGACACTCAACTATCTCGGCCACATCCACCGCCTCCAACAGGGGAAAGCGGAAGACGCATATTGGACCATGGCATCTGGGAAAGGATCTTGGGAGTGGCGCAAGTGGCCGGGTGAGATTGGCGAAGCATGCAATCACTGGTCAGACGGCAGCGATCAAGATCGTGTCGAAGAAGTCGGCGGCAATGACGCAGAGCGAGAGTATTGCGGGTATGGACCGGAAAGTAGGTCACTTTGGAGGAACCGGCATGCGACATATTCCATCCGGACTTGAAAGAGAAGTGGTTATCATGAAGCTCATCGAGCATCCGAACGTGATCAGTCTATATGATGTCTGGGAGAATCGTGGCGAGTTGTAGGTACAGCAAGTCTGCTTGTCTGCCTGATTGCTGACTTTCCTTCACCAGGTATCTCGTTCTGGAGTACGTCGAAGGAGGAGAGTTGTTCGAGTACGTGCAGAAGCATGGTCCATTGCCGGAAGAAGAGGCAGTGCGATTGTTTCGGCAGATCATCGCAGGCCTCGGTTACTGCCATCGGTTCAACATCTGCCATCGCGACCTAAAACCCGAGAACATCCTGCTGGACAGCTGGCATAATGTTAAACTAGCTGACTTCGGAATGGCCGCTCTTCAGCCCATGAATCAATGGCTGAATACATCCTGTGGTAGTCCACACTACGCTGCCCCAGAAATCATTTATGGCCGGAGGTATCGTGGGGATATGGCAGACATCTGGAGCTGCGGTATTATCTTGTATGCGCTCTTAACAGGCTTTCTGCCCTTTGATGGAGGCGATCTGCCCAGTACCTTGCGTCTGGTCAAAAGAGCAGAGTTTGAAATACCTCCCGAGGTAAGTCTCGAGGCCACTGACCTCATCAGGAGGATCTTGCAGAAGAGACCTGAAGAACGGATTAATATGCAAGGCATATGGGCGCATCCTCTTCTGAAGAAATATGAGAAGCTCCACCAGGCGATGGCGAATCATTACGTGGGACCCGCTCCGCCCTTGTCGTTCGATGAGTGTGGTGAACCTATCGCTCATAGACACGACGTCGATCCTGATTTGTTAAGGAATCTTCAAACATTATGGCATGATGTTCATCAAGAGGTTCTGATTGAGAGAATTCTATGTCCCGAGTAGGTCAATTCTTGGTATTATTACTTATCGGTTACTCCCAGACTGACTTTTTATGTCACTCAGACCTACCCACGAGCGAATGTTTTATAATGCATTGGTCAAATTCAGGAACGAGCAGCTGGAAAACTACCAAGGCCAAGCCCTGGAGTACTCTGCCAGTGACTATCATCATATATCGCGGGTGGAAGAGCGCAGTGCCTACAAGCGAAACAGTCATGCGAAGTACCACTCCAGGAAACAATCTCAGGCGTCGGTCAAAGAGACAGGCATACGAACCAGAAGATCGGCCAGAGAGCCGATGTCTTGTGCCACAGTGGAGAGCTATGATCCGTTCCGATCTCCGAAGCATAATATAGCGCTGAAGGAAGCCGAATTTGCGCAAATCACGATCTACCGGAACGGAATTGACGAAGTCGAGACGTCGGAGAGACCTCCCGTTCCTCCAGTGCCAGAAACTGTAAACCAGGAGTCATCATGCCAGGAGATTGACTGCCCGCCAAGCTCCCCGTTTATAGTGAGCCACAAAAAGAAACTGAAAGTCGCTTCGATGAAGTCATTCCAGTCCAGAGCCTCACAAGCGTCTCGACGAGCTCTGTATGGCACACCAACGCCGCGATCGGCGAGTTACAAGCGTAATGTGTGTTTTCGCCATGCTCGAAGTCGCTCCCAGGGATCCGTTTCGGTCAGGACGAAGACCGCGCGGGTAAGGACCCGCGAAATCATAGCCAATCCCAGCGACGGGAGTTTGGTATCTGAGTTCGAAGACGATCCATTTACAGATACTAATGGCAGTCCGACGCTTCCGGCTCAGCCAACCGTCGTTCGCAGTGCGGGTGTGACGATCAAGAACTGCCCTCAAATGAAGAAGCTGCGAACCACTGACTTCACTTGGAAGGAGGATGCGCGGAAGGTGTCCCACGAGCTGAGCCAAATTTGTGAGGAAGCTTTCAACGGAAGTTCACTATCCACTGCGTGCACGAATACTAGCACTTGCATCGGATCAGAAACCCCTGCAACGTCAGTGTCCATGACCAGTCCTGAAGCTTCGGAACAAACAATAAAGTCAAAGACGTCCACCAGTCGGCCAAAGCCCCTGCCTCACGTCTCATCACCAAAGCCCTATACAGTTGCAGAGTTAGCTGAAACTCGACGTAGGTTGATCGAGCACTCTACTAAGGGTGGAAATGAGGATATCCCTGGCTACTTGGTTGCCGTGATAGGCCACCTCGACAGACTGATTGAGCAGGATGAGCTTCGACAACGTGACAGACCTGAATCAACACGTCCCGTTTCTACATCTTCCGCTGACCCCTTCGTCCGGCCTCCAAACCAATCTGGGCAACACAGCAAACGCAACAGCGTCATCGTCCCCTCCGACGGCCAAAGAACGGCAGCTCCCCGGCCAAAAAATGTCGACTACGCTGCTAGCCGTACAGGCCGGGACGGCAAGCGGACGATACGCATGGTGCCTCAGAGCTCCGTGCAGTCAATTGAACCGTCCAAGCACCTACCGGTTCAAAAAAGCCAAGCCGTGCTTCCGCAGGAAACGCGGCAGTCGCTCGATGGATATAAGATGGCTCCTGACAACGATCAGGGGTCCCTACCTACTAGACGATTTGCCTCCGTGAATTCTCGTCACAGTCGCATTCCCTGCGAGCTGGATCCTATCGCGGAGAATCCTGGATCGCCCAGGCGCAGCGCCACTCGAACATCAGACAACAGAAAATGGTCCTGGCTCCCCAACAAGTACAACACCTCTAATATGGAAAAGGGGTCCAGACACTCGGCACATATCCGCCCAATACAACCCAGCTCAGAGACCGTGATTCGACATGAGGTCTATCCGCCAACGGATCTGTTCGCAACACATGGGGAGTCCCACGCGAACGAGAAGCAGTCACCTTCCAAAGCTAAGACCGGATTCTTCCGGCGTCTGATCAACCGGCGAACAAGCAAAAGTGGGCAGAGCCGTGAATCAGGTGAGTTTCCTTGCCCTCAGCGCTCGATAGCTTTTGCTTACAACAGTTAACAGTCGTAGAACCTGAAAGCGCAGAAACAGACCAGCCGCTGGAACAGCCCCAGCAGTCTGAGCACACGCTTGACACCAGTGACAGCAACAGCAAGTCCCTCCCAGACCGGCCATGCAACCCAGGCAGAAGCCAGAACTGGTTCGCCCGA